ATTGCTGCTGTTGTTGTTATTGTTGTTGTTGTTGTTGGTGTAATTAAAGTGACAACGTTGTTGCCGTCGCTGTCGTTGTCGTTGTCGCTATCGTCGCACATTGACATCGGCTGGCATTATTTTTACGCTGTCAAGCGCTTTAATCGAATTAGCCGCATTGAGCGGACTGCGGAGGAGCAGGTGACGACCCTCCTTGGAGGCAATTGAGAGCGTCGCTCATTGATTGAAGTTAATGTGCCGTAACGCTATTGCAATGAACCCTTTCAGTGGCAAGTTATTGTCGCCTTCACCCCTACACCTGCAGCTTAGCCCTCCGCCCTTGTCTCACTCTCTCTCTCTCTCTCTCTCTCTCTCTCTCTCTCACTCTTTGTCTGTGCAATCGATGTTCAGCGGCCAAGTGGGCGGGTGCGAAACTATTTGCAAAACCTCTGCGGGAGGTCAGTTATAGTTCAGCCATAGGGCCTTTGGCTCGCCTTGAACCATTGCACACCAAGGTTCGATGCATCGATGGATGCTTCTCAGCCGAATGGGCTGCAAACTGCCACATCAGTTCCGGTTTATTCACGCATAATGCCTACAATTTGCTTTGGCAGAGATAGCAAGAGGGAGAATCGAAGGCCAGCCAACGATATGTGGAAACAATGCCCAACCATCTTTCAGGGCCAGGGCCAGGGCCGGGGCGACAATACAGACGTCCAGCTGCCGCGACAACTTCATTCCCATTGGAAAATACAAATAGATACTATTATGTGTGTGCGTATGCGGATGCGTACTTATGAAATACTCAGAAAGCCATCAAATGGTTGATGCTGATGGGAAACCAGCGAGCTAGCGAGCGAGCGTGTGAGCGTCGCGCTGTCTGTTGGGGATGGCATAAAGAAGACAAGTACTACATGTTCAATATGTATCCAGCAGATACTTTTTTATTACGCATACACCCGCAAAAATATGGCTAATGGCATTAAAAAGTTCACTACTACTACTACTTAGTTATTATTAGTTCTTCGAATTTAGCAGCTTTTTCTCCAGATTGTTTCTAAATACAAAAATATCTAGATAATTTCAAATTGGATCAAATAAAATGCATTTTGAGCAACGTATAAGCTGAATGAACTTCGAGATCTGTGTAACCGCTATGATCCCCAAACTTCACATTGTCTTGTGACTTCTTCTTCGTCTTATCAGTATGGAAATCAAATTTATTATATACACGTACTATAAGTAAAGTCTTTACTTTATTTTTGATAGCTTCCATGGCATTTCGATATTGTAACTGAATTCTTAGCATACTTTTTACAACTTTTTTCCGGTTTTGTGTTCAGATTATAATGATCTTTCGTATCTACTCTTTCTCTCTCCCCAATCTTATTCACTGCAGAAGGCGTGCAAACACCATGTTTTGTTCCCATATACATATGATCGACATGAAGATCTAAAGTTTAATCAAAATCGGCTCATAAAGCTACTAAGCAACAAATCCTATTTTTCATGAATAGTAATAAGGTTTAGCTCTTCTACTTGTACTTACTTATTAGGTATTAATTATTAAAAACTTTCGTTGGTTATGATGGCACATAGAACTTGTGCAAAGTCCCGTATGCATTTATTGAAGGCTTTTAAATCTTAAACTTAAAATGATCAATTTTCACTGATTTAAGAAGGTAATTGAAGATTCTGTCATCCGTTCTCATGAACTATTTGTCTGTCTGACCCTAGCTTAAGCGATTATTTGTTGCTAAAGAATCTATTTACGAATTCTTATTAAAATATTTATTGGAAATGCCATTAAACATGGGTCTTCTGTTCTTTCAAATGTTCTTGCTCAGCAACTAAATAAATCATTATTAAATGTGGCTTTGGGTAGTCCCCATTCGCTCAGTGTATGCTTGTGAATGCTTGTGCTCTTGCTCTGTTGGTCGCTTATCCAAGCATGCATACAATTCTAGGGCCCACATGGAAATTGTTTAGATATTGCCGCGTACTTTGCGTCTTCGTCTTCTTCTCAGGCCCGGGCAGACGACAGCCACAGAGGCGGTTTAAGGGCGACTTATGTCTGAGCAAAGCGTCTCGTCGGCATTGCTGACGCACTCTTATGTCTGCACACTCGTCCTCAAGAGCGCCCTTCATTAGCCCGCAGCGCCAACGTCGCGTCGGCTTGTGGTTTATCTGGCAGGGCGGGGCAGGGCAGGGCAGCTGCCATATGGAAAGCACTCGCAGCTGTCAGCGGCTTGGCTCTCCTTATCGCCCGTCTGTCTGGGTACTGAGAACGACAAGAGAAGATGTCGCTTGAAATCTTAAAATGAAACTAAGCGTTGCTGGAGTGCGAAGCTTGAAACAAGCTTTAAAACTATGCGATGCACAAAGGATCCTGCTGAGTTACATACTTACTTAACTATCCACTTTCTAAAACTTAGAAAGTCATATACATATTATGTATAATCGCCACAAATGATACTCCAATTAGCTGTGAAACTGGAGCAACTTCATTATGCCAAAAAATTTTGGCAAATCTCTCGGAAGATCACATAACAAGCCGCCCAGCCCGCAATAATGAAGCTGGTGTCTTGTGTTTCTCTTCCCACTGGGCCCCGAAATGGAGAAGAAATATGAAAAATTAACATGAATATGTGTTGTATCTAATTCGCCAGATATGTGTAGATAATTACAGTCGAGCTTCCTCACAACGAATTCACTTAATGATATAATGGAGTATAATTCAGCGACAGAAATGTGCTGTGATACGAAATAGTACAATAAAGCTGTCAATTGATGGCTGATAACAAATCTAAAGGCATTTAGTAAATGGAGCTTTTTTAAATTTATTTAGACTTATAAGTTAGGCTCACTCTGAATAACCTTTTAATAACCTCATAAATTCATAACCTTGGCACTTCCAATATCAGAAATAAAGAAATGGGGCTGAAGATCATTCGACAAGTCAGATAATTATATTTATGTACGATTTTAACGACTGGTCTGACCTCTTCTAGATACTGCATAATCTTACTCGATTGAACAGAAACACTTTTTAAAAATTCCAGTTGGAATAGTCGAAGTGTAATTTTTCAACTGTGACTTTCTTTGCCCACAATTATTTTAATTAATTCTTTTTTCATATTCGACTTCACTTTTTCGATGTTCTTTAAAATGTGGATTCGTTATTTTTCGAGTATTTGTGTTTTAATTCTCAGCCTCCGATCGAATGTCATTGGATTTGAACAATTAGTAAGTTCTTTCGAAGCCAAGTTCACGATCTAAGCATTTTTTCGTTTCATTACACATTTCACATTACACTTCACAATGAAAAGGCCAATTCACATTTCTTTGATTTATTTTTTATTTTTTTTATTTTTTGAATCATTGCCGTAAAACACAACTGTACATTAGTGCTCTGATATATAATGCTCAGCAGGATGATATGGCAACAAATTGCTTTGACAATAAACTGACGTTGCTGGCATAATGAGATCGGAATGATGTGGCCAATGAGCTCGCATCGGCGACAGTAGGGAGCTCGCTATTTGGGCATGAGGCATTGTTGTTCGAATGTGGCGCGATTTCTTGTACAGATTTAAGCAATGAGCAATGACTATTGTTGCCTACGCAGCCAGCATATGTTGCATGACTACGACTATATACATATATGACAACAATAACAGAAAAAAAGAGTGTTCCAAATCATTTAATTGTGCTGCAGCTGCAAAGCTGCCAGTCACTACATTTGGCAAATGGCGAAAGCCAAGCTAAGAGAGCGAAAGAGGTGGAGAGATAGGCCCTCATTGCATGTCAGGTGTTGTCGCCTGTGAACTAGTTTAAGTCCATCAACAATGCTAGTGGCAAGTAGGCGATTCTGCCACTACCGCACCGCGCCGATCCACTGGCCAGCTGTCAGTGCATTTGCATGTTCGCAACTTGCAACGCAGCGGACGTGCCACAAATGGACGGAACGGGACAACGGCACTGCCGCATGCGTCTAACTTGACCGAAAAACTCGCTCAATGCGGCACAACTGGGCGCAGAGGAATGCGGACAACGGACCCAAATACACACGCACACACACACACACACACACACCATGACAAAGAGACACACAAGGAGTGCGTTCGATACAAATTCGTAATCCATTCTTTCGCTGGTGTATAGAAAGGTGAAAGGGTATATTATTATGAGCTCTGAATACAGCTTACAGGCGGAAAAAGGTCATATTAATGATGTACTATTTATATAATCAACATGAAGAGACGCATACATTTAAGCATGTCCGTCTATTCCACTGTTTGACAGTATGAACGTCAATAAATTTTTAACTACAATAGCTAGGACCATACTGGGTTTATCACAAAATAGACACTTATATAATATCATTCCAAAACTTGTTTAGTATCTAGTTATAAAAAACAAAATAGGTTTTCCTGCAGAACTGACTGATTGGTAATCAGCGCGCACGCCAAACGATAAGATTTAAGAAGCAAGACACAAGTCTTCTTTTAAGATGCGAGTTGAAATGAATTGAATATATGAATTGGTTTAAAATGAAGATAGGAACCCAACGAAACAATACGATATGGCCAATTGTTTAAGCGTTGATGTTTAAGTAAAAAAAAATTAACATAAAAACAAATAATTAAAAGGGCAAATTATACCTAAACACTTACACGATATTCCCCATATGCGATTTAAAAAGTTATAAACAATTTCATCAAACACACTTCTCGCATGTGGCAAATAATCTAGAACCACAGCCACTGCATCCCGATGTCGTCAAATAGCTGGTGATCGTGTAATGTGGGAAAAGGTCGTTGCCGCACACAAGTTGTTTGTTTAGAGCACGTTGGATAAAAAAGCGGGATGGGATGCATCTGGGTGGGGCGTGCAGGTAGCCCGCATAAATGCCAGCGGCCGAAAATATCCACTTGTGGATGCTGATGGGGCTATTTGCAAATTGGGTCGTTTGGTGTGAGTCACTCTCTCATCTCTTCCACTCTCTCTCTGTCTTGCAGTTTATTGGAAATGTCCGCAACGACACTTTTAGACGTGAAGGAGCAGCATTTGGAGAGCAGTATGGCCAGAGCAGACGAGGACTTGGTGGCCTGTCTAGGCGCTCTGGAACTGGGTAATGAGGCAGCCAGTGTATCAGACAACACAGTGACAAACAGTCACATACAAAGCAACTGCAATGATGGCAGCGACAGCGGGCTGGACATAGCCAGTTGCTGCATCTCACGCGTCACACTGGAGCGTGCTCTGAGCAGCAACAGCGGCGGCTACACCAGCAGCAATGGTGGTCTAGAGGAAAGTTCCACCCACACACAGAGTCAGCTGAGCTGCAATTCCGATCTCTACGAGCTCAAGGCTTTGCCATCGTTGTCAACGGCTCAGTCCCAGAGCCATGCCAGCTACGATTGTTGCAGCGAAAATGGCAGCGAAAGCTCCAGGGAAGTGCTGGAACAATCTGTGCCGAAGACGCCGGTGCGTCGCGTGAATGGTAGTATAAAGAAAAAGGTGGCCATGTTCGAACCTTCTCCAGGGCCTTCAAATGCAAAGGCAGAGGAGCCCCAGCGGGGTAGAGTGGTAAATCTGAAGCGGGCGGTCTCTCTGCCCCGCCATAGTGTAGGCCCTGCCACACTGGCTACCCCAACTGCGGCCTCCACAGCGTCCACCTCCACATCAAGGGAGAAACACCGAGGAGAGCGATTATCCTCGGCCTCCTTTCGTATACCTTCGACAACGGCAACAGGCGTGCCGACGCCCACTCGTCCAGCACGCCCACAAAAGCCGGACACGCTGACCAGCGCCCTGAGCCGCACTCAATCTATTAGCATGCAGCGTCTAGTGCAGCGCACACCATCGTTAAGTCGCGCCCGCACTCCCGGCACGCCGTCCGACGATGGACGATGGCCAACCAACAGAGGCGGAGGCTCCGCCAGACGTGGTATGTCCGTTACGCCTGATGTGACGGCCGTTAAGATGCGAAACAGCATGTTAGCCAGTAGTCTCGGCTCTGGAGGCTATGGCACCTTGCCGCGTCAGCGCAAACAGCAGTCAGTGGAGGATCTCAGCGGGGCTGGGAGCCGTGTGTCGCGTAGCAACTCGATTACTAGAGCTGATACACGTATGACCGCATCCGTAATGGTCATGTCCTCAAGCACTCGTCGCAGCTTGGTGCCGTCAGTGACGGCCAAAGTGAATTCATTGCGACGGCCCCAAGCACTTCAACGCACGCGCATTTATCATGAAACGGCAGTACAGACTGCCCTGACCAGTCAGGATTTGGATCAGGTGTTTAATGGCGGTGTGGCGCAGGCACGTGCTGTGGATGCCGTGGAGCAGCGCAATCAGAGCACACAGGCTGAGGATGTGCGGGATTGCGAGCTAGAGCGTTTGCGTGACGAAATCCGTCAGTTGGCGCAGCGGGAACACGAGCTGAGCGGCAAGTTGCAGCGAGAGCGTGAAGAGAAGTTGGCCATGCAACGGGAGCTGCATCTAAACACGGAGCGTGTGATGGGAATGTTGGAAATGGCGAGAGTTGTGGGCGCTAATGCGGGAACACCCACCTCTGAGGACAGCGGCGATGGCAGCGGGCACGACAGTCTACTAATGCTCGAGTCCCAGATTCAGATGAGCGGTCACGAGCTCTTCGAGCGTCAGCAGGAGATAAGTCAATTGCGGGCCCTTGTTCGGGCGCTGCAAATGGAAATGCGACGTTCGCTAGCCACACAAGAATGTCTGATCCAAGAGAAGGCAACAATCGAACAGGAATCGAGTGAATTGCAAGACTTTCTACAGCACGAGAAAGCGTCACTGTGTGATGCCCTCAAAGAGTTAGAGACAGAGAATCAAGGCTGCAAGGCGCAGTTGGCCAATCGTGAGGAAGAGGCAAAAGTGTTGCGTGACGAATGCAGACATTTAGTGCGTCTGAATGAGCAGCGTCGCCAGGAAAATCGTCTGCTACAGACCAAGTATTCCGCACTAGAGACTAAGTCACGGGAGCTCATACATCAGCAAAATGCTTCGGTGGCAGGGGCTTCTACGGCCTTATCAGGACTACATTCACGCCTCGATAGCCTCGTGGAACAGCTGGTCTACTCGTACAGCATTTCCGAACAAGACTTGGAGGTGAGACCTCATAATAAATATTCATTATGGCAAATTAAAATCGTCTTTTTCATCCTCAGGACATACGTTTTCAGAATGAGGCGATTGCCACTGAGGCAGACAACTCCCAGAATGGTAACAGCGGCGGCTCCAACGGCAAGCCCAATGCTCTCGATCTGCCGCTTGAACAAGTGACAGCCAACGAAGCCCTACACACGCTGGTACTCGCCAGCGATGGCTCATTATCGCCGCAACGTAATCAGTCCTTTATAGCCGCCGTCATCAGTGCCATACGCCAGGCCACTACCCACTCGGGCAAGCGCTTGTCACTTCGTCAAGGTGGGAAGCGAAACGGCACGGCTGTACAGACAACGGCGAGCGGCCAAGTAAATGCCGCAACGAACGAACAAACAACACAAAATGGCACTGGCGGTGAGTTCCAGAAGATAACTCCTTAGAGCGGCTCAATTTCATTTTCAGTCTTTCGTTCTTTAGACGATTCCGACTCCACAGAGATGCTGGACTCTGAAACGGAACCCTGTCTAATGATGGACAATGTACTCGAGGATGTCGTGCACCCAGACTCGCACTCCCACAACATGGTGTCCTCGTGCACGGGCATGATATCGCAAATCGAGTTGCCCACAGAACTGATCAGCCAATGTAGCCAGCCAGCGACGACAGCCACGGCCAATGGCGATGATTCATTGCAACAGTTGTCCCAGGCCATCACGAATCGACAGCAGATGGAACTCCACATGCACAAACTGAATGTGATGCCCATCAAGTGAGTTGCACTCATATTCACTATATTGTTGAAAACCCATTTCTTATTCGAGCATTATTAATCAATCACTGAGAACAGCCTGAATATTAACGATTGCTTCCTACAGCTATCTTGAGGGTCGAATCTTCACGCCATTTTATTTACATTTTTCCTAACCAATTGAAAGGGACTAGCTCCAGCCAACACGCCATACTTACTCATATTTTATTTCTGCCTGCGGAAATATAACTCAAATACAAATCTATTGAAAAATGTTTTTACACTGGAACCCTAGGCCATGAAATTGTTGATCTAGAGGTCAAGGCCTTTGCGGCTTATTCCTTTACCAACCACCCCTGCAGCGCTTAGAATTAGATCTTCATAAACTTCTCGATCAAAATAAGAATTATGGCTAAGTAGTCTTCCCATCTCTCCCCCCTTGAAATGTGGAGAGACTTGCAAAATGCATTCTTTTCAAATCTTTTTTCAAATCTTTTATCTTTACTTAAGATCTGTCCTAGGTTGGACAATTATTAAATTTTATGATACCCTTAAATTTTCGCAATCATGCTTCTGTCATGATGGTTGCCTACTCAGAAACAAACTCACATTGTGGGATTCCTGCTAGCTCGTTGAGCTATGCCAGGCCCATTATATTATTTAAAGTAATATAATCTGCCTTATCCGAACATTCTTAAACACTGGAGCTCCTAACATTTGGAATCCAGGCGGCGAAATTACTGGACTAGGCTTCATCATATTTCATATTTCATCTCATAGAAGTGTCTTCGGAGAGAAATCTGATCAGAACTTTGATAAATTTTACTCATTTCGCAGCAATCGCGATCAGTGTAATACCGAAGATCTCAGCTGTCACGACTCCTTGGCCGAGTTGCCTTCTTTAATGGAATATTCCACAGCTCAGGCAGTGGTCGACCAAGTCATTGAGGTGGACACCTTGGTCACAAAACTGCTAAAAGTCCTGAGACTTGTTCAGATGGACAATGACAATTGCATACAGCAGCTCATTGTGGATAAGTTAGTGATATTCTGAAATTTCAGTTCAATTGATTCTTCAACTGCTAATCGAAATCTTGGCCTGTTTAGAAACAAATTGCAACAACACAAGGAGGACATGCTTGAGAAACTGAAAGACTTGGAGGATGTCAATCTAAAGCTGCAGGACGAGCTCATGGATGCCACTCAGGAACTGATGATCAAGGGTAGTGATCTGACGAGCGCCAAGGCTGAAATGCAGCGACATCGCAACGAGATCGACGTAAGATTTTAGCCGAGACTAATATCACTTTTGGACTTTTATGTTGCGCGCACCCAATGAAGACATTTCTATATATCTTTTCATTTCGAGATATATTTCCATATGTTGTTTTATTATATTATATATTTTTTTAAAAGCGTTCGGATGGCGTCATCAAGTTTTTCCTTTAACTTATGCTACAACTATTACTATTATGCTTTAGTCATAATCTTAGGCCAATGCGCCGTTTGACATAAAGAGAAAATAAAACGCATTGCTTATTTAAACTTTGAGTTGTACTTATAATTTGTGAATATTCTCAATTGATTTAAACGTTATTTCATCAACACTTTGTAACCCACAATCAATCAATCCATCAATCATTCGTCCGCCATTCATCAACAATCGACTTCATGGCCACCAACAACAACACAATCAATCACAACTTAAAGTTCAAACGCCACGCACTCTTTCGTTTAAACTGAATCGCAAACCAATCCTAGACCCAGATCACTTAAAAGAGACTACTAATTGCATAACGCACGCCATAAATCTGACTCATTACCACAACTACCACTGCTACTAATTATCCGGCAGCGCCTCAACGAGGACATCTGTACGCTGAGCACGCTCTGCAGCAACTACAAGAAGCTCTCGCCAACCACAGAGTTTCCGCCCATGCAGCTACTGACGCCCAACAAGGCGCCCGAGGAGGGTGATGTCCAGGGCATTCTTAATCTCCTGAAAATGTGGCAGGCTGGTGGACAACTGGAGGATGTGCGTATTAGCAGCTTTATGCGCAATCTCTTCGCCACAAATGTAGGTACGAGCACATATCCCTCGATGGTTACTGTATACTCCAATTCCTAGGCATCGCGTACATCGCTCCTAAAGGATAACAACAATGTGGAGCGCCTACGCATCTATGCCAATCAGTTGGAGCACGTGTCCCGCGTACTTGACGACAGTGAGCTGCACCAAGCGGTCAACTATGCGCCTTTGCAGCAGCTGCGACAGGACATAGAGATTGTTCGCCTGAATGCCAACTGGACCCAGGTGCTGGGCGAGGACAATGTGACACAACAGCCCAACAATCTGCCCGATCAAAATGCCAATGGAAGTGCCCCGTCCGCCGATGTGCCGCAGCCGCTCTGATTTGTGTCAAATTGTTGATCGTGCATATACCATATATATGTGTCCGATTCTTCTAGTTGTTTACTTATATGTTATGTAGTTAGTTCGAAATTTTTGCGTCCAATCAACATTTTGGCGGTGCACGGGCGAAACAGTCAACTACAGAGTAGAGATTAAACTGTTATATTCGGGACTGCCTAAAAGTATGCTTTAAAAATTTCAAATAATTTAGAGCCCATAATATTATTTATTTCCTAAAGACTAAGCGGTATTTTAAAGAGCATTAAGCTCGTGCAAAGTAAAGTGCAAGATTTCTTAAAGTTTGAAAAGATTTTGCAACACCTTTATTACCATATGCCGAAGCCTAGCTTACATCGGGGTCACCAAATGATGAACGGCTCCATTTCCGTCACTTCTTTCTATTAAGGAATACGAGCACATTCCACAGTAAGCAAACATATTTTAAACAACCAGAGTATTACTATTAAGGCTCGATTTAGTTAGTATTTATTTATTTATTATGGCTAGACTGTTTCAAACGTGCACTGCGTTTTGACTAACGCTAAAGCTCATTTAATATTTGTCCTCCTAGTGTATTATGTTTATGTATTAGCTTTGGGCCTTCTGCTTACTAAATAGTACATACAGTACGCTTCACTCGGCTAGAGTGGTTACATGAATTTATGCGTCAATTTAGGACAAAAACTAATTAGAAAAAAATATACAAAGAGTTTTATTAGAAATGAAGCATTTTTAATATAATACACGTACTCGTTTAATAAATAGGCCTATCCTAAACTCTAAAACGGATCTGGCATACAAGAAAAAATAATATAAAATTTCGCAAAATTTTTTGAAAATCCCTTGAAATATTAAAATATAAAAATACGCTATTCACTGCTTAAGTACTTATGGTAGCCTACTCGTATATGTGTATATATATGGACACATATGGATGAGTCATCCGCTATTGTCTTTCATGTGCTGCCTTTTATGTTGCTCTGTCTTTACATTTACAATTAATCTCACAATGTGGGCCGTCTGGTTGGTTGGCTCAAAAAGATGGCTTGCTGCTGCCCATGCTTCGCGCCGGCAGGCTGTTTGTCTTCACTGTGGGGTTGTCCCGTGCCTGAGAATGAGCAACCACAATGCTGAGGCACTGCACCCACTCCTCGGCGTTTTTGCCATCCTTCGGCTTGAAAATTAAAGTCTGATCGGCAGTAAAGATCTCGAAGGCCTTCGGTATGTTGCGAGCGCCGCGTGAGACCTTCACCGAGCGTATCTGATTGACATCGATGCTCTCACCGCCACTCTGCCAGTGAAATGATAAATAAAGTTCAGGTTATATGAGCTATAATCGTTGTGTTAATAAAGCTTACGGATCCCTTGCATGACAAATGCGCTCCGGAGAGTGTAAAGTAACGCGTACGCCAACGCCGAAACAAACGCCATTTGCCCTTCTTCTCCTTCAATTGACCCTCTATCATGGGCTGATTGCTGCCATTGAGAAAACCCACCGCCTTGTCCGGGTGATTGCATAAGAAACAGCCCCACTGATACTCCAATTCATTGCAATTCGGATTCGACTTATCGGTCTTGGAGACCTCAAATACATCCAGAAAGCCGGAATGCCGCAGCTCATTCACAAGTATCTCACGGTCCTGTTGGAAAGTTCGAAATCAATAGAAGTTGTGGGCTAAGATTCTGTGATTTGAGTCTCACCTTGACCTGTGGAAACTGACTGGTTACCAGTTCGGTGAAGCTACGGTTCTCGCACTTGAGTATTTGCCAGATATTCTTCAGATTGCTGATGCCTGGCTCGCGCGTACTTAACACGCACTTTTCCTTGACCTAGTCGAGGAGGAAGGCTGGCTTAAGCGACTGTTTGTGTAGAACTTAGAATCAGATACTACTTACAAAATGTCGCACTTGAAAGTCAAGAAACATCAAATGTATCCAGGTCTTGGGGTTGCGGGTCCGCATCGTGAAGCACGTCTTGGAGTAGAGACAGTGTGGTCCACGGATCTGACAAGCAAAATGAAGCTTTGCCACCTTCTTGGTGCGACGCTCTGCAAATTCATTGGAAACTTTTTGTTTTGGTGTGTCGGTGTTTTGTAGAGAGTGGACAGACATAGTGGACAGTAGACAGTGGTGTGTATTGTGGAAGAGTGTTTATAAAAGACAGAGAAAGTGTAGGACAAAATAATTTAATGCATGCGACAACACTAAGCTCCTTCACTTACCCTCGATACTGCAACGCGTTGGCGGCGGCAAGTGTTGCGACACCTCGTCCATATACGACTTGATGGAGTTGAAGTTCTTCTCACAGAATTGCTGCACAGGATCTCGCATGATCTGATAGGGTTCGAAGGTGCTCATGCGCTGATCCAGCACACTATTGGCATTGAGCAGCGTGCGGCTCGTGTTGTCACTTCGTCGAGGGGCCACATTTGTTGTGGGTCCAGACACGATCACTTCGTGTGTGCTCTATGGTAAATAGGGAAAACAATCAGTCAGAGTCTGTGTTTAAATAAATGCAAGAAATGGTTAAAAAAAAAAACTCGCTATAAATAACTAGCAAAACGCGACTTTGTGCGCCTGTTACCGCTCTTGCTATTGGTTTCGTTACAGAAAAAGTTGCCGGTGCAGCATTCAAAACCCTCAAATAGGAAGGTTCATTCCAAAAAGTATTCAAATTAGAGCTAAGACACAACATAAGACTCTTTGCTTCGTTCAATGTAGGATACCCCTACATTTAGAAGAGTATGAAATTTAATAACGATTAAGACCTATCCTATATCACAAGAGGCCTTCTAGGCCTAAGTGGGGGGTGATTATCATCACCTCCGCCATTTCAACCTAACCTATTTCAACCTAAGAACTATCCTATATGCAAAATATTATGTTGAGTCTTAGGGAAAAATGAAGTATGCTAGGTGAACCTCTAATGATAAACAGAAGAAGTTTCTTCACGAATGATTCCAATACCTCCCCTGAAAGAAGTTCCTCGACCAGGCTATGGCAATACCCTAATCTTTGTTGTACTTCAGTTATGGTTATTTAATACGAGAGCGGTCTTTGCTTCAATACAACTTCAAAATGTGCTATATTATTTTCTGGTTTCTAGGCCACCATAGAATCATGATTTTGAAATGGCAGATGAGTCGAGGGACAAAAACTTATTACAATGGGTCCCAAAGAGATTCTCTAGTGAACCTAATCTCACAACCGGTTTCATTTAAGGAATAGGGGCCTGGTTCCTGAGTTTGACTCGGTTCGAATCACGGCGCTACCATCATCGCATAAAGCATGATTTCAAAAATTTCTTGCAGTTTTAAAAATTCTGTAAGAGTCATCTCCCATTCTATAGTAGAACCTATCTAGCTAATGATTGGTTCCATGAAATTATCGTTAAACACTAAAGTATGTTCAATGATCTTCGAGTTACCAGTTCGAGTTACGACAAAGTGCGTCTATATCCTAATGTTCCATCTTTAGGCGAACTTACATTGCCATTCACTGGTAGTTTCATCACAGATTTAGTATTCCCATTGCTGGAGGATTGGGGCAGAGCGGGCGAGGCATGATGCACGGAAACAGCGTTCTGCGCCTGCGCCTGCGCGGACTGTTGCTGCGCCGCTCCCGTTGAGTTCGGTATGGATATGGAGCCCACGGACTGATTTAACGCATCCGTGCTGTACTTCATTAGAGCTGAGCTCGAGTTAAGCAGCGTTGTGGGACCCTGTGAATGGGGTCGCACCTTGCCCGGTGATGTGGTTACCGTGACGCCACCCGAGGTGGTCACCGGTATGCCGTACTTGTTGTGACCGGTGATGACAACGTTATTGCTAAGCGGTGGCACGGGGGTGCCCGTAGCACTGGCGGGCGCCTTGGGAGTGGCGCCTGTTTGCACCACCACATTGCTATTGGAATTTGCAGTGCTGCTCGCTGTGCCGCTGGCATTGGCGCCACTGCCACTGCCACCAGGCTGCGACTGCGGCTGCTGATTGATGTGCTGTGAGCTGCTCAGTCGCGTCATGCTCTTGTGAAGTCCGCCCACCGAGCCACTGGCCACATTCAGGCGCGTCACGCTGCGATGCGTGTTGCTGGCTGGATGCAGATGTAGGCGCCCGGTGCTGCGCGAGTCGCCCAACTTGACGCGCCGCGTATAGCCCGTATGTGGTGGCGTGGGCGTGGCTGTGGGCGGCGGAGATATAGCCGCTGGAGCGTTGGGCGTGTTGCTATTGCTGCTATTGTTAGTTGTCGGATGGCTCGCTGATGTGGGCTGGATGACTGTAGTTGTGGTGGCACCACTAGCCGCGGAAGCAGCGGGAGCAGCTATGTGGTGGAGGGGGAAGAAGAAAAGTTTGTCAATCTTGAGGATATTCTTTGAACAAGACTAGGGGAAATATTTTGTCTGCTACTCACGTATTTTAATATTTGGACTTGGACTGCTGCTGTTCAAGCTGACAATGGTAACGCCTCCAGAGATCTTGTTGCCAATGTCCTGCTGGCTGCTCAAGGCAGCATTCTTTTGCCTCACACACGCCAAGACTTTGTCGGTGAAGAGGACGGGATAGGCGGAGCAGAGACGTGTGGCTTCCTGTTGCAGCAAGGCCTGTGCCGCACGTTCAGCTTGTGGTAAGTGTTCCAAAACAAAATCCAAGGCCGCTTGTGCCGTCTCCTTGCTGCCCATGCCAGCGGCTGTCAATATCTGAGCGCATAGAGTGACTGTGGAGGGGTTTGCTTTGGCTGCCAATCGCAATTGCTCGAAATGATCGACTAGCAAGTGTGGGGCGTGTTCTGCCATCTTTAATAGTATCTGCATGGTTATGCTCGATGTCTCGGTATCGTAGAGAAAGGAGCACAATTGTGGCACACAGGACTCCAGCACTTCGGGTGCCTTCTGTACAATCAGCAAATAGAGCTGGAAAACAGCCAGTCTCTCCTGAGGATCGCACTGGGGTAGCAGGGTGATGAGCAGCGGAGCATGGGGGGTAACCGTCTCTGGTGATACTTCATAGACCTGTGAGAGCACTAAGAACGGGGAACAATTTATGATTCAATACGTATAATTGAGGCTTAAGGTATTACTCACGCCGTAATAGTCCATAATTACCCGACATTATGGAGTCCATGATGAACTCCACATGCGGACTAAGCAGGTAGGCATAGTCGTTGGCCGCCAGCGATAAATAGCTGGCAAGGTTGCGCGACAGCTCCTTGTTGCCCTTCGGCAGGAACTGCACGGCAATGGGCAGCGCAATTTTCATCAGTTCTTTCTTATCATAATTCTAGAAAGTAGAACAAAAAGAGCGCGTGATTAGAAAGACATGGTAAGGGAGTATTTAGTGCGTGGGACATACTAAAAATATGCTAGAGATAATATCAGCGGCTATTTTGGCATGCGGAGGCTCCTCTTTTGTAGCGCTAGCCGGCTGTAGATTCCATAGAAGACAAGTCTTTAGCAGATCCACCAGGGCGGCGCAATAGCGTTCCGCAGTACGGGTCTCACGTATGCAGGAGAGTACGCGAGTGACGCAAATTTCCACCACAGACTGATCATTGTTGTTCTTCACGTAGTCGGCGTGAGAGATAATGGGGTTGATCTCGCACAGCTGCAAAAAGTGAATAGTCGTGAGGCTATATCGTAATTCGAAGATAATACTTTACTATTTTACTTTACAACATTAATTTGTACTAGTACTTATTCTACAGATATAAATAGCTCATACTAGCATACGACTACAATATGCAATCCTATTTCAACTACAACTGCTGATATTTCAACTTTTTTTATTACTATTACTACTTCTATTGGCGCTATTTCATCTTCGACTTTTAGTAGTAGTATAGTATACTACTATCTCCACGATGACTACTAATACTTATTCTTCTTTTGCTCCTCTACACTCCATTTTTTGCTACTTGGCTACATTACTACCATTTCTTCAACTACTCTCGCTTACATTACAACTGGGACTTTTACTAGTATTTTCACCATTTTGTTATTTGTACTTCTTATAATTCTATTACTACTTCAATTGATAATAGGCAATACTGTCACTACTATTATAAATACTTTCATTATTACTACTCTGCATTCTAACACTTGGCCAATTACATACATTATTAATACTAATACTTCTACTACTATTATCGCTTTTAATTTCTTTAGTAGGTATTATTAAAGCCACTTCTTTAACCAGCACTGTTATTAATACTTCTATTACTATATTCCCTAGTTCTTACTACGTATACATTTACTTATGCTTCTATTTACACTACATTCACCTACTACTTAGTACGTCCACTGCTAGTACTGATTCCTTTGCTACTACTACTAGTTTTACGTGTAGTATTATTATTTTCAAGATGACTTAAATTTTATTACATTTTTACTACTTCTACTACTATGGTTTTTTACTACTACTATTACTTCGTTATTAATACTCCCAGTACCTCTACTAATATTTTCACAGCTATTCAAAATTATACTATTTTTCAACTATTTTTTTGTAACTAATGCATATAGTAATTATATAACCTCCACTACTTGCACTACTGCTCTGTGTAATTCCACTACCTTCTACTTCCTTCAGCTATTACTTACTATTTCAACTATATCTCTATACTTCTATATCTCTTACTTCTTCCACTACTACTATTACTTCTATTGAAAGCAATTCTTTTCTTACTTCCACTACTGTTGATACTTCAATAAAAAATTAAAATTTTACTACAACTTATACTACATTTAGTAGTAATTCTAAAATTTTACTTTTATTAACACCTTAACGACTAAAACTTAGGGCTTGACTGCTTCTACTCGTATATCTTTTACTGCTTTCGCTACAACCAATACTTCAATTATTAAAACTTATACTATTAGTAGAGTTATTGTTACACAAAATACTGCAACTGCAATGACTACTACTAGCAATTGTTTCACTACTGCCATGGATACTTTCGCTATTACATTGTCTTATTTAATTACTTCGACTAATTTTAACCAATAATATTAAATATAATTATAACTAATGCACCAGTAGTAATTAATAGTAGTGTTCCCATCAACACTTAATTCTTCTGTTTCAACTTCTGCTAATATTAGAATACATTTCCCCCATGGAATTGTCATTCGGTAAATTTTATTATTTCGGTTTTAGACACACGTTTGCATTTAATAATCTTTATCAATAGTCCGTACGATAAATAGTAAGGCTAATATTTAAGCCTTCACTATAACTTCTTAATCTTTTACTACTACTGCTAGTTCTATTGCTCTTTTATAGACTCTCATAACTCAGAAAATATATAAAATTTTTAAAAGAATTTGATTGATTGTCTAATCATTCAGAACGAAATCAGTTTTTACTTACCACCTCCGTTATGTCATTGACGATATCCGCATCGGGTACTGAAAACAGATCACCAGCCCGCGATAAATCGCGTTTCGAGAGTACCTTCGTGAAGAGTTCATGCATCGCGAATTAACTTTGGCTTTGCTGCTATTCTGCTCCTAAAGAGGCGTCTAGTCGTGTTCTGCGACTAGAAAAGTATTCCCGACCGTCTTCGTCGCATCATCTGTGGCAGCTGCAAGTGAAAGAGTGGGGGAAACGGACGGAGAGAGAGAGAGAGAGAGAGATAGAGAGTGAGAGAGGGAGAAAGAGTATTAGTTGCGGGAATTTACTTTGTCGCGCGGTTTTTCACTGCCATGTTTATTGTTGGCTAATTGCCAAAGTTCAGTCGCCAGCGTTCGCAGCAATTTTTTATCTTATCGTGTGGTAAAGCGAACTAGACGTGCCACGCCCCCTTGCCCACCACCTCCCTAACCGCCCTGCGGTTTACTGCCTGTTGACTAAATATTTGCAGAAATATTTGCGTTAGTTTCTTGGCACTGGCTTCAGTGCCTGAGAAACTGGCCAACTTGTTGCACTTGACAACAACAGAACCCAAGTGCAGAGAACAATCTGAAGCCGAGAGTCCACTTCAACCATAGTGAAAATATATATAAATATATAGACTAGAGTGTTTGGCGAAGCTAGAAATTAAAAGTCAATAGTAAGCACTACTTAACCAAATTTCTGATATCAATTTTATGCCAAAAGAATTTAGTCTGATTAAATATATTCCCTCGAAGCTAGAAAATATATAAATAAGAATGTAAAGGACTAAAGTAGATATTCCATGTTTAAAAATAGTTATTGATGCATTTTTTTTTCTTCGTTGGTGCTTTAAAGAGGGAAGAACTTAATGAATAATAATCTATCTGTCTGCAATTGTTGATCAGAACTTATGGTATATACTATAGTTAAGGCACGCAAGAAAATTATAACGTTCAATTAATTTATAATTTATTTATCTCAAAGCCTTGGAATAAAGAGTCTAGTTGGTTATGTGTTAGGTGATGCGATTGTCTAGTCTGTGGCAGAGAGTTTGTTCTCTCATTAAGCTTCAAATTTCGCCGCCTCAAGTTATATTGAGAAAGTGATACATACTTCCTATGGGGCCCTAATTTTCACGATTTTGCTTTTCATGAACTTTTGTGTATTTTTCGAGATCAATAATTTTCTTTCAACTTCCATTGCCTCACTACCTTCCCGACACTTATCATTTAATGAGTGCTTGACTTTTCAGCTGATTCTGTATTTTTTTTTTCAAATTGCATTTCCACAAAGGCAATAAATTTCCGTTACGCAAGTATACACTTATGTGTGTGTGAATGGGGATTCCCTGAATGGAGCAAACACACGCGGCATAAAATAATCTTAAACAGTTGTCCACTATATTTACAAATACTTGCAACCAGCACTCAATATTGGCTCCACTCGTTGCGGCCTTGCTCTATTATTTGCGTGCACATGGCACCTGCACTTCACCTGTTTGGTGTGCGACATCCAAACAGCTTGTGGGCCAGTCTGAAATTCGCTTTATACTTGTATATATCGTTCGTATATATTGTTGGCATTCTGATTAGATTCGCAGAATTCCATTGCGGCTTAACTGAGCCGACTTAACGGCTCACTCGGAATTTGCTTTTATGCTGACCAGCCGGGCAGGGGGAAGGGGGGAGGGGCAAAGCTCAACGACAAGCTGCATAGGCATTTCAAATCTACCAGCAAGCATTTACATACATACATATGCAATAATGGATGTAGTACTACTCGTATATACATACATATACATACAAGTATGTATCTGTTAGAGCTGCCAGAACTTAGAGCAGCGCACTGTGGGTTCATGCATCCTAATTAAAATATATTCTTACACCCAGTATCCAAAGGGCAGGACAATATCACTTATAACTCCAAACAAAAGCAGACCCCATGTTATACATACATCTAAGAATCCCTACCCGTCTATCACTCTCGAAAGGCATACAGCTAAGATATAGAACAACCAAACTTTGTGTTCATATCCCCCTAGGCCCCAAGCAGGTCAATCTCAACATCACAAGTCAATTCTATAGCAAGTGATTGGTGTTCTCTTGAATGTAATATCTTCCGGGACTTGGACTCGCCTCGTTTCAACAAAATCCACTTTTAAAAATTCCTCAAAGGATCTACATAATTGCAAATCAATTCAAAATTGACTTACAATTGAACTCATCCCCATGCGATTTCCTTCACAAATAGCTCTGATTTCGACTTTATTTAAAAACAAATTGCCTGTCGTCTCAGCCCGACTCTTGAATCTACTCTTTTCCTTTACTACTGTCATTCAAATAAAATCAACATTCTTCTACCAATCATTTCTATGGTAGCTTTATAATATAGGAAACTCATAATTAAGCAAATTTTGAATAGTAAACTTGAATTCTGCAGTAATAATTACCTATAGTATTATCACAAATACCTCATAGGTTTCCAATATTCTTGGTATATCTTTATAAACAAAAAAGCGATCCCACTAAGGGTGATTTTTAAAGTGATTGTTTCCATGATAGCTAAATGATATAGAAAACCGATGTATATGACACCTCAGAATATCACGAGGAACTAAACAAAAGTCGTAAATACAATGAAAATATGACGAGGTGCTATAAAAACTCATAAGTTTCTAATACCTCTATGAACAAAAAAGTTGAGCGTGATTTCTACATCGATGGAGGACAGCTATATAAAACAATATATGGTTTGTAAAAAACTAGCCCTGTGTAGTAGCTGGCTGTACCAATTAACCCATTAGCTTGATCAAAAAGGATCGAGATCGGTTTTATTCGATTGCTCGTATATGGTTTTGTTGAATATGAAAATATTGTATAACCAATTATGCAGTTAATTAATGGTGAGATGGGCCATTGCTCCCACTGTGCAACGCCTCTAAGTAGACAGAGAAAAAAAAAAAATTGCACGCAACTCGACGCTGACATCGACATCGACGCCGAAGTCTCCGTTGCTGGCTTAGTCGCTGCCTCTTCCATTGCAATCAAGGAAGCGCCGCAGAGCAAAACGGTTAATAAATTTTGAAAGAAGAAATAAATAGACACACACACACATACTTGTACCTATGTATATAACAAGTAAGAGTTGCATAATTTGATAAAAGTATGTACATATGTATATGGCGTGCAATATAAATACTGCGATTGCATGCGAGTGTCGGACAAATCGGACATTGGGACAAAAAATTGCAGACAGACATTTGCTTCCTGGAAACGGAGTCGGGACAAACGGCAGCAAAGACGGCAAAGACGACGGCTCAACTGCTGTTGCTGTTGTTGTTGGCTTTATGTATTTATGGCTCATTCGCGCTCAGGTTGCACTTTGAGCAACAACAACAACAGCAACTGCGGCGACGACAACAACGACAACGATTTGGTTTGGTTTGGTTTGGCTTGGAATGGTGGATTGAAGAAGTGTGGACTGTGTGTGAGTGGCAGCCGCAGAAACTGGTTAAAAAATAAATAAAGAAGTACAACACAGCAGCAGCAACAGCAACAACAACAACAACACTAACAACAATAGCAACATCATAAGGCAGAGAGAAAATTAAAAGAGAGGAATAGAAATACACGTAAGTAATGGCTAAAACATGCGGTGGCCGCCTAAACCGGTGCGGCAGGTTAATACACACGATTGTCTGCCGCAACGCGACAGACGCACGGCCGGATTTTCAGTTTCAGTTTTGGAGTTTGGAGACAGCGACAGCAACAGCAACCACAAAAACAACAACAACAACATCAACAACAAAAGCTGCATTAAAAGCCTCAAACAGCAACGACAGCTTTAGGCCATAACTCTTTGTTCAATTTTGTTTTATTTCATTTTGCGAGTTTGGCGAATTTGCATTCGCCAAATGGCAGAGTTGAGCCAACAACAGCAACAAAAAAAACAACAACAAAAACAACAATAATAATGAGCCACTATCGCAAACTCACACACACGCACGCTTATTTATTTATTCAGTATTTATTTTAATTATTTTTCGTGCTAAAATAAATAAATTTTTGCAAAACATGCAAATGAGTCAATAATGGTGATGACGACGACGACGACAACGATGATGAAGTTACTATTTTTATTGTTGGTGTTGTTGCTGCTTATCTAGGAAATAAGCAATGAACTGGCAAGGCTGCTTTTCCAAACACCACTCCACTATATTATGCCAGATATCCATAACAATTTTCGCGCCCGTCTCACATAACCCCAAGGCTTCACTGGCTGGCATTTTTTTCACTGCCATTCTACACTATAGTGTTCTATACTATATACTATACGTATACTATGGATAATCGAATTGCCTGCATAGCTTTCTCAGGTATTGTTATGATTATTATTCTTTCTAATACCTGGGCCAGCAGACACGAATGCTGGTATTGGCATCAAATGTCGCGCAACTTGAAACAAGCCCGTAGCTCCGCAAAGCTGGCCAACAACTGGCCGCCTCAGTCTCGGTCTCAATCTCTAAGAAAGACAAGACCGAAGTGGCACACACACACACACACGTAACTAGCATTTGTAGATGGTATTTCAGCTTTGAAATTCATTTTGTATGGAGAAGGAAGCACTTTGAAAGCAACATTCAGCCCGGAACTTAGTGACCAGAGGTCCTAAAACATACAAATCTGAAAATCAGGCCGAATCGGCTTTCGGTTCCGGTTACGGTTCTAGCACGTATTGGGTATTGGATTTCATGAAAATGCTCTGTTTGGGTTATGAGTTCATAGTTTTATTTGTCGTTATACCTTAGATTCCTTATAGATAAGGTAACAATTTCTCTAACGAGTCAAAACACATCATAGTTCGGTTTTGGCTTCGTTTCTTTACTTATGTTTCAATTATTTTTCTTGTATTCATTTCCACTTTGTTCCTTGTTTTTTATGCCGTTATACTTTAGATTCCTTTCAGGTATAACATCAATCTCCCTAACGAATTAAAGCTCATTATAGTTCGGTTTTGGCTTCGTTTCTTTCCTTATGTTTCGATTAATTTTCTTGGACCAATTTTGATATATTTTCTTGTATTCAAATCCACTTTGTTCCTTGTTTTTTATGCCGTTATACTTTAGATTCCTTTCAGGTATAACATCAATCTCCCCAACGAATTACTTGTAAAGCTCATTATAGTTCGATTTTGCCTTCGTTTCTTTACCTTTGTTTCAATTTTTTCTTGGCTTTATTTTGGACTCTCTTTGGACTAATTCAATGTTTTAGTTTCAATACGTACAGAAAACAAATGTTTCGAGAAATTTTTTTATCGATACTAAATTGTTTGATTTGCTAATTTGCTTTCGTGTAAGTACATTGAGTTTTATTTCGGTGTATACTGAAGAAGAACAAACAATTTTAAAATCTTCTAATCAAACCGAATTGCATTTCGATATTGGTTCCGATTCTTAAACGAACCGAAACCCATAGTTCGATAAAATAACTTTTTTTTGGTAGTACGTTTTTTTGTAAGCATCGGGTTAGCTGTGACTAAAAAAGTTCCTAGTATTAAGTCTAAGACTCATTAAAAAACACCCATTACGATCATAGAAAATATGGAGTTCATTGCCTAGATCTGCCTGAAATATAATATGGTACATCTTTTCTCAGCAACTCTTACTATATACTATCATATCCGTTACTCACATGCTGACCGACTGTTCTATTCCCCAAAGAGACAGAATTAAGCTCCTTTTCTGATCCACTGAATGCACTTCTAAATTTAAAGCAGCATATATTTTTATTGAAAATGAATAAAATGTAACTGGGAAGAGGGTATCAGATGTTCATCATGTCTACGGTGTATGGACGTTTCCAAACAAGTTTTCGCACAAGTTTGCCGATCGCTCCATAGATTGTACTAGGTCGTGTTAGAGGGACCCTCGATTAATACTTTTCGGGAGATGTTCATAAATCTCTTAACTTCACAATTCATTTAACTCGACGAGCTGAGCGTGAGAACCAAAAAGAACAAAAAAATCAAGAAGGAAAATGAGGAGAAATAACAAAATATTTATGATATTTCCCTTGGCAGCCCCATTTGATGGTTCTACGCCGAAAATAAACGCAAGCTTAGGACAACAGTCGCAGCAACAACAGCGACACCACCACCATCAGCAACAACAACAACAACAAGGTAATCTGAGCTCAAAAGCGAACACACGGTGAAAAATGAGCGGCGCGTGAAACTTATTAATGAAAAGAGCCGCCGTCGCGGCCGCAGACGCGAAAGAAATTGCTGCGAATAACAGCAACAACAATTATTATTATAACAACGGCAACAACAACAACAAAAGCAGCAGCGGCAGCAGCAACCGCAAAACATTTTGTATGCGAAAAGAACCAACGCTTCTACATATGTACGTACTTATGTATATTCCAAATTCCTAAATATCTACTATAAATACACTGAAAGAAATTGATTTCATCCAATGCTGAGCATCGCAGTTAAAACAAAATCTGAAAATTAAATGGAATATTTTCGAATCAATCTACCAATCAAACGGTTCACTTTTTATATAATTTTTTATACGAATACATGGTCTTTGAAAATAAAAATGAAATGCACATTATATATACATATGTATATATATAAGACCAAGATCAAGACATTTATGTATAGTAGCAGAACTATCTATCGCACAAAAAAAAAAATTTGCCTTTGGTTCCTAAATATGTTGTTAGCTATATAACAAAAAAAAAACTTGAACTAATATTTTTGAAATTGTGGAAGCAAAATTTGGAAAATTAAATTTCTTATAACAACCAAAAAGTCTGTTGAGACTATGAATAATATCTCACTACATTAGATATAAAAGTAAACTTTTCAAAACCAAATTCCAGTATGTGGTGTGAAGAAAACTTACTAGATTCCTTTTGGATTCCTTTTATTATATAGAACTAGACTGAACTAGTAGATTTGTAATTGATTTGGAAATCAAGACGATGTAATCGCTTGTGCCATTAACAAGACTAGGTATTCTAAAAATTTAATTTATTGTGTATCCGTGTTTGATAAATAAATAATATTTATATATTTTTCTAGATTCCAGATTTATTGTTGTTCGAGTTATTAAATAAAAAATATTTATATATTTTTGTAGGTTTTTAAAGAGTTATTAGAATTTAGAATTTATAATCTACGAAATCGTTGCTCTATATGTTATTACAGCTGCCATGATGAAATGTGATTGGGATAGCATTAGCATTATACTTGTTTTTTTCAGTGTACAAACTTATTATAGTACGCGTATTTTAATGAGCTGCGACAGAAGAGCGCAAAAAAGAAACATGTCCGAACACACTTTTTGGCAGGTAGGTTTCGCAGCCAGAGCCAAGCCAAAGAATGGTGGCTTGCAAATGGCAACAACAACAACAACAACAGCAATAAGAGCAAGTACAAGCACAGCAGCTAAGCGGACGCCACACATGACGCGCTTTAACGGTAAATAAAACTTACCAAATTGTATCTATCAGATACACAGATAGACAGACACACAGCTGGACAGTGTGCAGGAACTGGTTGGAGCCCCCCGACCACTTGCCAACCACAAAATTGTTGCTCTGGTTTGGTTTATTGCCAGTGGCTGTTCTTGTTGTAGTTGCTGTTGCTGTTGCCGTTGCTGCTTTTGTTGTTGGACCGCAATGGGTTAACAACTTGAAGCCGAACTGCGACTGAAGCTAAAAGCTGACTTTTGAGTTGCTGCTGTTGCAGGCAGACAGACGTGAGGTAAGCAGCGCAGTTGCACGGCCAACGCACACAAACACACGCACACAAACACACGCAACACAACAGCAGCAACAATAACAAAAACGTAGACGAGGCCAAAACAGTCGACCAAACAGCCAACCAGCCAACCAACCAGTCAACCAGCCAGCCAGGCCAGTCAGCCGCAGCACCAGTTGGGTGTATTTCAATCTTATTGTTGTTACTATTTTTGTCGTTGTAGCTGGCTTGCCGATAAAGCACAAAATTTTGAATTATTGTTAAAGTTGCTGCTTTTCAATATTTACTTGTATGTGCTTTGTTTTTGAAAATTTTTTTTTTTTCGGTGCTGCTGCAACATTTTGCCAACGGCAGCGCCTTTTTATTCTCAAAATGTCTCTTTTGTGTTTTTTTCTGATGGCTTTCTTTATGCAAATCGAATTAAACTTGTATATCTACATATATACATATGTATGTACATATATATATTGTTGTATGTATGTACTAAGTATATTATTCGCACCTTTTGTATTGGTTGTTGAATTTTTATTTGCCACAATGCCTTTTTTCCATTATGCCTTATTTTCTTTGTATTTTTGCTAATCACATTTTGTTAACACGCACACACTCGCACTCACACACACATGTGCGCATACATATTCATCTGTGTATGTACTGCACACCACACACACACACAGACACAGCCACAGACACTCACGAAGCGCGAAAGGTTGTCTCGAAGTCTCGATGTGTCGCTGTCGCTGTCGATGCCGATTCGCTATCAAAACCGTCGACTCATGCGCATCAGTATTTAGGGAGCCAAGCAAGTAAACGCGTTTAGGCCAAAACGTAGACTGAAAGTCTCTGCTCACTCAGCCGCTAGCCGTGGCTGGAAATGTCTGCCCAGCTATCTGGCTGGTTTGTTTTGGACGATCGCACAATTCGGAGTACGTGTATCTCACAGATACACGCGCAGCAGCGACCCTAGTTACAAGTGCTTAGGTTCCTGCTCCCGCTCGCTTTATTGTTAAGCAAGAGAGGGAGAGCGTCAAAGAGTGAGAGAGAGAGAGAGAGAGAGATCGTACGCTCTTTTACCACCTTGTCTGTTACCAGATTCTGCCAGAATTCCCTTGCCTAATGGGGTATGTGAAGCAGTCAATAAGCTCGTAACAACAAGACTGGTTTTCAGAACTGATCTTAGCGGAGGAATCTTTTTAAAAGGACTTTCGGGGAAAATATATATAAATAAAATATAATAAATATTAGGTTATTAAAAAAAATAAAAAATATAACGGAATGAAATGACGGATTAGAATTCAAGAGAATGGAACGCAATGAAATAGAATACAGTGTTAGTGCACTGAATATAATGCATAAAACTATTTGAAACCTAATGTAATTGAATATAAGGAATGCTAAAAGATAATAATAATAAGATAATAATAATAAAAAAGATCACAAAATGATACACAATGAAATATACTTGAAAGCAACTGCACGGCTTATAATGAAAATCATTTCAAATTATGCAAAATAATACAACATAATGAAAGTAAATGAAACACAATGAAACAACATGTTGAAGAATGAGAAAACAATGGAATAATAAAATATATAAAAAAAATTTTGAAATGAGAATTTAAAAATCAAGAGTGTTCGAAGTCGCTCTGAAAGTGTATAATACTGTCGGCTAATATTGGAGTACTGATTCGCTCAGATTGTGCGCTCTCTGCCATTGTACAGAAATTTATCATTATTTGCTTTTGCGTTTTTCATTCATAAACAAAAACCGCAGCGTTCGTGGAACCGACAATGGCTAACTGTTTGGCCGACTTGGCTTGCCGGCTGCTTCTTTTCTTCTACCCGATCTGCTTTGCTTTCCCGTTTCTCAATTGCTGTTCATACGGCCTCTCACCTGTTGAGCGCCGGAATGTTGCTGCAACATGTTGCTACAAAGCATCGAGCAACATTTTTATTTTTGTTGTGCAACTTTCCTTAGACTGTTAAATTATTTTTTAAATGTTTTTAAATTTGCTGATCATTTGTAAAATGATTGTCTCGATCATTCGATCCCTGCTACTTTTAAACTGATTTTTCTTAAGAATCAGTTAGTTTTAACAATCAGCCAGTTGATGAAAATAACTGAGCAGTAAGAAGCTGAAAATGCCTAAGTTTACTTAGACTAGATTTATGTTTTTTATTAAGCTACCAGGCATAAAGTTAAAGTTTTTTAGAGCTATGATGCGGTCTATTATGCTTTATGCAGCACATATGGGAAATATTATTATTAAAACTGGAATATGATTCTGAATACAAGGTTGCCGATAATAACAAATAAAAATTGATGCAAAGATACTAAAGTCAATTCTTTTAATCTTGGCCGATCCTGGCCAACGAATGTAGACATATCTGACTCTAGTACCTGATCCTGAGCACATAAAGAAATATAAGAACATATCAATGCCGCTTCTAGGATGAAGTTTGTTCTTTAAGCATGTCATAATGACACCCGTTCAACATAAAGTGATTATGAAAATAAAGCTCTTACTACTACCACTAGATGAATATGTTAGTCCAAGCTGATTAAACGTTATATAGTTTCTCTTTGATGTGAAAGCAGCAGTTATTTATCAGTAAAACTGCATATGTTTTAGCACTGACTAGACAAATCAAAGTTGGTTGCAGTTTATGTAGTTGGTCCCGCTTCCAGAAAACAAACAATCTTGTAAATATAAAACTTAATTTTTCAAACAGATAAAAATCCGTTTGTAACCCATTAAGTAATATTTCAAGCGTGAAGTCTGACTATAATTGTCAACCTACAGATCGGCGATCAATATCAAGAACGTGTTTCTAAGTATTATCAGCTTCGTCTGCCGATTGCCTTAGCTTCTTCCGCTTAACACTGAAAACCGGCGGGGCAGCAACTTGAATTGTTACATTAACCCATTAACGGCTAGTTGCTAATTAAACTTGAATAGCTCTCAGCACCTTCCTGACTGACGATGACCGTTGCGTTTGGGAAGGTGCAATAGCCACACAAGCGCCAATGGCCCCAAGGCCCGTACAACAACAAGAACAACAACAACAGCAAAAATGCTTGCATATTTGACTTGCAAATAGCACGCGAAAGATACACTGCAATGTTTACTTTAGTTTAAACTGTAGAGTGTCGAAAACTGCAAGCAAACTACGACGTGTACTTTGGAGCCATAAATGTACGAGTTGATGGTGATAGAGCGGGCCCACAGAAAACATACATACTCGTACATAGTACAAAGTTTATTTAAAATGTGTTGTATAAATAGCTTGAGTCTCTTCATTTGTTGTTTTTGTTTTAGCAAACAGTTTCTCCGATTCATTAGGCATATTTGGACACCAACTGCTCGACAAAGGCAATGTATTCCTTTTGAGCGTCTTCAGTGGACTTTCCCTTCTGCTTGTTCCACCATTCCCACTTGGCCTTGCCCTTCAGATCGAGCAGACCGGGCTTGTTGGTGTTGTTATCGCCAACGCTGGCCTGCTTGAAGAGAGCATACAGTTCCAGAAATTCCTCATCACTGGGACGCTTGGTCAGGGACTTGACCTTCTCGGCAGCGGCATTGAATTGCTGTGGAGTGGGAAATTATAAATGAATATTGCATTTCCCACAAAAATCGTTATCTAATCGAAGTATAATTGTAGCTCGTAAATTATACAACTAGCTCACAATCATTCTAAACTTACCTCAGTGAGTGACATATCGCTTTGATTTTAATCTGCAATAATAATAAAGATAGAGTTCGATTAGAGCTTGTTTGAAAATTACTGATGCAACAATTAGGTTGTTTTTTTTTAAACCAATATTTAGCTCTTGATGTTTCTTAATACTACAGAAGAAGACTTTTTCTGGAAATTTCAAAGTGCAGACAATGAGTCGTTTTTTTTAAAGAATTGCTTAATTCAATCATTAACAAAACTATATGGTATCATAAACAAGACATTAGCATAGGGTTTCACTAAAGATTGTTAGCAAATTTAGGATGCACTCACAAATCTAAAGAAATTGTGGCGGTTAGTTGTAGGCGACATGAAATCAGACAGTGTTCAGACACTTCAGGATATGAATCGATATAAAGCAGAGACTCAGCGTTGTTCATTAATTTTTGCTTACCTAAACATAAAATACCACTAAAAACTCTGCAAAATAATACTTCATATGATATTTTTGGATGCCATCGATAGTAAATGAATCAAAATTTACAAATAACAAAATAAGTAAGGAATGTGTATATAAGATTAAGAAGAAACAAGAAGCAATCTAGAAATTAGTTTAAGCCTAATTTGTAAAGTGTTATAACTCTGAAAGTTATACTCCATTAATTATTACTTTGATTTTTTGCTAGCCTCTATATTATAAAAAGTATTTATCACTTTATTTTGCAAATCTCATCATTTGAATTTTCACGTTACATTTTTTCTCTGGGTGTAGCAAGCAGCAAAATTTAATGTCTGTGTATGTGTCTGGCTCAGATTAGCTAGCATTGAACTTGATTTTAGTAGACTATGAAGAAGCATTAGCCTAATAACTCGTTTGTCAACTACACTTTGCCAGACTCGAGCAGCGAACTTTGAACTTTGTCTAACAACACGGCACAATACGGCAAACCCATAACTTAACCGTGCTGGATTTGTCTCGCACGAGAATCTGTGCATAATTTCAAAATGCTAATTAAACTTGGACCCCTTGCGGTACTTTCCCGGTACAACAACACTGACTACTTGAACGATGTCAGCGATCGCGATAAAAAAAACACAAATACATAATTGAAATAATGCGCAGCAGTGCGCCTCCAGCTTGAGTGTCTCGAAAAAGATACAAAAAAACAGATACTAGAAGAACATGGGCGCCGTGTTCGGATCCCAGAACTGGACTGGACAGGTGGCCAGGTGGCGAAGTGGCCGGCAATGACGAAGTCTGCCAGCATTTGATCGTTAAATTTTGCCAATGGCTTTTGCGGAATTTGGTAGCAATCAGACAGTCATGGTGTGGGACGTGCATGTTTACGTGCCGACCATACATATGGCCCATTTAAAAAGTTTGTCGGCAAATGGCCTAAATCGCTTCACAAATAATCGCTCTTTCACATTATCTAATTGTATGTGATTTGTATTTCATTTTTCCGCGTCACTATCGTGCCATATTGTGCGCGCACTCTCGACATCGAAATTAATACGATGACATTTCTTAATATTTCTAATCAGTCTGATTCTGATTTTCCAACACAATCTTCGGCACACACACTCGCACACACTTACTTTTGCGTCTTGACGGCCCCAGAACCAAACACAGTCTGAACCTGAGTCGCGATTTGACTTTCAATTTAAGACTTGTGCCGAACGAACGCAAAACTATCGTACGATCGCGAGTACCGGCACGAGTTCCAGCAACAAAGCTCTCCAACCTGAGCAAACCCCAATCAGTGCCACAAATTAGCTACACTGCTCAAAACTGAGTGAGTCGTCAGTAAAGTTGGCTCTAAAACAAATTCAAAATTAGTAACAAGAAAGGAACGCTGGAGTCGAGCGGGCCCAGCTCTTAAATACCCTTTTCTTGGGGGTAGAATAATAGTGTCTTCGTTGATTTTTAGATTTCCAAAGATTCCTCATCAGTGGAACGCTTGGGATATTAGAAACGAATACTGAATGCCCCACTAAAAAATTGTTTATCTAATCGAATCATAAATAATACAACTCACAATCATTCTAAACTTACCTCAGTGATTGACATATCGATTTGATTTTAATCTGCAATAATAATAAAGATAGAGTTCGATAAGAGGTGGTTTGAAAAATAAAGGGGAAAACAATATTTAGCCCCTGATCTTTCTGAATACTATATGTTGATCGATATGGATAAAACTAAATAAATTTAATAAATTACCATATTATGGTCTGTTATTTTTATATTATGGTATCTGTTTTGTAAGAGATAAGAAAACTATTAGAGGATATTAAATAAAATACTAATAAACAGACAGCGTTTGATCTTTAGAAGCAGTCGAGTATAAGTAATGATAGATAGTTAAGAAAATAGAGCAACATATAAGTACAACAAATTTTGCTGCGAAGATTATATCTGAGTATTTAGATCAGATACAGCTGTTTTATGAGTTTAAAAAAATTGGAATTCTAATTCAAAATTAGAGTTCAACGTATGCCTAGTTTCTTACCTGCCAGGCAGAGCATAGCCTAAGAAAATATATAGAATAAATTCGAATTATACAATAACTATATTTAATCCAAAATGTGTTTAAGCAGTAATGGTTTCAATATAGATTTTCATTTAATTGAACACAACTGATTATAACAACTTGAAGGATTATTATTCAAACGATTCGTGTATTCCAAAATATAATTTAATTACTTTAAATATCAATGGTTGACTAAGGTCGAAAATGTTTTTAACATCTCTAAAATTCTACTAATGTACCGTTTTTATTTAATTTTTTTTACTATATCAAGAATTGAAGTCAGTCTACTATATATAGTAGAAAATCATTCATAATAAAAGTCCAGATATGCGAAGCCTTACTGTTTATTTTCTTTATTTTTAATCTTTTTAAAATTGATTCATACTAGATTGAATCAAACCATATTACGAAAAACAATTGTCACCTTACCCTATAAATGTTTCAGTTTAGATGTATGAACGTCGAATATCTTTCATAACTTTATAGATCTCTCGAATTCAATTTCATTTCAAGGTAGAAAATATATTCTAATTAAGTCCAGCAGGTCTATAATAATAATATTATGATTTTGAATAAAGTATACGAGAGAGCCAACCCTTATGTAATTTGCTTTAGATCGGCTCTGTGGCACGCTCTTCGGATGGGGATGGGTTCTTTCTCCCTCTTAGCACAATATCAGAAAAAAAAGTGCACAAAAACAGAAATTATCCAATAAAAAATGAAACAACCTAAATAAAAGAAAAGAATCCGCTGTCTCACGGAACCAGTCATATCTATCACTAATATAAGAGATTACGTTACTGAGACTTGTATGGAACTAGATGAAGTCGCCTATATCGTCTTCATCTCGTTTTTTCGGGAACTTCTATAATTGAGTTTGCTTTTTTTTTGTTACTTTGGACTTAAATACACCAGTGCTTGAGTGTTTCCTTTTAGTGTTTTCCGCAGTGCAATGGTTAATGCGGTTACGGAACCAATGGAGTGTTTTGTGAGTACAATCGGAAAACAAGTAAAAAAAAGTAAATGAAAGCGTGACAGTATTGATGCATGGCCGGTTTCTGATATCAGTCCCTCCAACCTAATCTACAGATAAGCCAGCGCCTATGATGTGGCAATTTAGGGTTCGAACTTCGAACACTTATCAGCAAATGTTAATACAAGCTCAAGTAGCTAAGTGGCAATAATAGATTGATTAATCCCCAAGGAGTTCCAAAGAATCGACACTCAATAGCTGACGAATTGAGATTATTTTTCCTTATCAATTGCACCTTTATTTTGCAATTTATAACGTTGCATCACATATTGACATTATCTTAGGCATATTTGGGAGCGTACTTCTCATAGACCTTGACGTAAGCCTCCTTGGCGGCATCCGTGGACAGACCCTTGTGCGAGTTCCACGCCTCCCACATGGCCTTCTTCTTCAGATCAAGTGCGCCGGGCTTATCGATGTTCACATCACCAACCGTGGCCTGCTTGAAGAGACCGTAGAATTCCAGGAACTCGGAGTCGCTGGGCTTCTTGGAGAAGTTCTTGGCCAATTCAGATGCTTGCTCAAACTGCAAACAACAAACATCAATCTACAATCTTACCCTATTAACTATTACAATGCCGTATACTTACGGACACCATGATGTGTAAGTGTTTGTTAAGTGGGCGGACAGATCTGTAAGAAGGCGGATTAATGAGTAGTCTAGGTTTCACGCTCGAGTGCTTACCACTTGAATTTGAAAAGGTGATTGGTAATAGGCGCTACTCTACTTACCCTTTTATAGGTTCTACTACTGCATTTTAATCACTAATATGACCCATTTTAAATTTAATTAAAATAAAGTGTTCATTAACTGATAAAGCCTGAGGATTTTGCAATATTTTGGATATTGATATGACTAGGCACCTAAGCCATTTGATAACTCTGCTTGGTAACAATTTGACCTTATACAAGTAAGTATAAAACTAATATGGGCTGATAATCACAAATAAAATAGCACGACTTTTATCATTTTTTCTATACTACCTATTTGCGAACTATTTTGTAACACTTACAGAGTTACTAAAGAAGATCTATTGATTGCGATCCTAGGTAGATAGAACTTTGCAGTAGACACATTTTAGCTGCACTTCGATCAAACGAAATACTTTTGCTGAATACTTTTAGGCGAAATATGAAATAATCGGTGATATCTCAAATGAAAGTGAGATTAGTCCAATAGGTAGTTTTATCAGTAAGTTTATTTAAATAATAACCTTCAGGTAGAAAGAATCAAATCATGAGAGCAGGGCCGATTGTGGTGCTTGCCCAAACGCGCAATCCTTAAGGGGCCTATTGGTATATCTGTGAGGATATTTAGAATGCCTGAAGCCTGAAGAATACTAGGGCATACAAATTCCGTACTTGTCTGAAAGGATGCGTGAGGTAGTTGCCTCCCTGTATTCCACTCGATCTTTCAGTGTCCTGCTACCGATATTTGGATCACCTAAGGTTAATCTCTTTAAGAGATCTGTTCCAAAACTTTTAGGCAGATTTAAAGCAAGCACCTTAAATAACACTTCTGTAGCATAAACAGAGAATTAGGGCACAGTTTACTTAAAAGAGTGATACCGTTTTATACTGGTTATAAGTCTTGAAGTGTCGCTTTAGCTTGTGGAGCGGCTTAGAGGTGATCAGAGTATCGGCTTGAAAACTCCAACTTATAAACGTCAATGATTTCCAACATCAAATCACTATAGAGTATAGGTATTACGAGTACACTAATGGCTGCCAGAAGAATCTGCAGAAACTGGGTTTGGCTTAATGTTTTGGCAGCCAAGTCCCAAATTTGTACGACATATCTCCAATGAAAGCGATTATTGATTGAACGGACTACGCGGTTATTTATCAGGTATAGCAGCTGTTCATAACATTATAAATACTACTTGTATATGCCGTCTGAAAGTCAAAGTGCAATAAAAATTGGCTCTATGAAACATTTAGTTCTTCCTGGATCGCCATTCCCAATACTCCTCTGGGTGTCCCAACTGCAAGTAGATGTCCAAAATTTCAGTCTGCATAACGGAAGTACTTCGCTGGCAATATATGCTATACGTTTTATTAATAATAAGTAATAATAATAGTAATATAATGGGAATAAAAGTGGGACTGCAGTAAGAACATGATATTAAAAGGAAGTGCTCGACCCGACTTGGATAATGAAAGATGACAAATAGGACTGGTTTACTTAAAAGATGCCGTAGAAAATCTGTGAAACATAAAGTTTCAAAAATCAAAAACCCCTTGACGGAAAGATTTCGTTTTTTGATAAGCGGACTCAGCCGTTAATTTAAGATATAAAATGGCGTTGTATTGCTAATCTAAAATGCAATTGGCTTCTTCAAACTTAAGGAATAACTCTTCATAGTCATTTGAGTGACAAATAAAACTCAAATAGTTATTTCAGAATAAGTATAAGTTTGAATTCTAATTAAAGGTTCAGACAAAGCACAAGTAACTTTTAGTAGTCCTATAAGATATATTGAACATAATTGAAGTCTACTCATAGCCGTCAGTCAAGATGGATTCACAAAAGTCCATGCTGACTACATATTATAACCGGTCTGACCTATGTATGTATATAAGTTTTCTATATATAAGTTTTCCACCTGGAAGAAAATTATTGATACCTGATTTGCGGCGGATAATTCCGTACACGTTTATCGCCAGAATTTTTGGGACCAATTTAATTTCCTTGAGAGTCTTTATTTCTACACAAATTTTATGTTGCATGCTTGTGGTTTCCTCTACACATTGGGGATAGTAATGATTCCAGCTATTCCTAGCTCTCCTTCAAGAATAAAATGTGGACAATGTTTCATTTGGAACTACTTACAACATAGTATTTTAATTATGTTCTTATTTGAGAACTGAATTTAAACTGAATATAAACGACTGCATCCTTGGCCATAGACATTATTTTAGACCTGAAAATGGAGAATGCATAATTTTTGCCAAAGAATAAAAGGTGTCCTTTAGGTATACACGTATGGAAAAAAATTGTACTGCATTTGTTTGCTTTGGATCTAAGTTTTGTTTTCTTTATTACAAAAATAAATACATAGAGAGTTAACAGACGCGTGTCAAGAGAGTGAGGTGTGGAAAGGAGAAGTCTACGGCTACGAAAACGAAATTTCTAAATGCAACTTATTCGTACTTGGCGGCGTACTTCTTGTAGACCTCAATGTAGTGGGCCTTGGCATCGGCGGCGGTCAGACCAGCCTTGCTCTTCCAGGCATTCCAGCGGGCCTTCTTCTCCTCATCCTCGGGCTCCTCGGTATTGCAATCGCCAACGGTGGCCTGCTTGTAATAGCCATAGAACTCCAGGAAGTCCTCCTTGCTGGGCACCTTGCTGAAGTTCTTTGCCTTCTCAACGATTTCCTCAAACTGCAGATGAAAGACGGTATTATTTACTATACACTTATATTTATTATTATGTGTGTGAGACTCACGGTCAGCATTTTGGTTGTTTGGTGGTTTGCTGCGTATGGTTAACGAAAACGGATTGCTGTATATCGAACCATAACGTTGTTATATATAAACGAAGCACTGACTATTTATTTTTTGGTAATCTTATCGCTAGAAACACACCTGCTGCTGCTTCTGCTGCTGACTGGTTGCATTTGTAGTTCCCAGGTTTTGATGGATATGTATGCGATTAGGCTATCTGGGGGGTGGGTGGAGAGGTCCGTATAGCCTGTTCGGTACAAACACCTTCACTGTATTGTGCAGTCCAATCAACAAGGCGACAAGCCATATATTTATTGTGGTATCTATCTATCTACATGCAGGCATATAGGCATGAGTATGGGTTGCCAAAAAAACAAATAATCTATTATGTATGCAGATATGGGGAAAGCGCTCTATGCACTTAAATGATTAGATTGCCACAAACCAACCATACCAGGCAGCTTTAGTGGACTTGTAACGATTTTTACTAAACGGAAATAGACTAGATATAGTTTAGGCCCAGTAACCCGAATTAATGTGAAAGCCCACTTCCGATTCCTCATTGACCAATGCCCTGAATATGAAGACGTCATTCGGTAGCTTATCAGTTTTCATTTTAAAGCCACGTGAGTCATACACAGCAATCAAAAGCAACAGAACTCTACCTATCTACCCATCACTATCAGAATATTAATTAAAACACTTTCAACCAGATCCCCCCCACCAAAAAAAAGAGTGACAAATCAACATTCTGCCAATTCGTGAAGCTAATATTTAAATTAATTAAAGCCCCGGTTACATAATCCAACAAAAACTTACCTATATATAGCCGATATCGGCGACTGTTTATCCAACACTTTGCGCCCCACAACGTTCAGCATCATGGTCAGCTTTGAGGAAGCAACTGAATTGGCCAAGAACTTCTCCAAGAAGCCCAGCGACTCCGAGTTCCTGGAATTCTACGGTCTCTTCAAGCAGGCCCTTGTTGGCGATGTGAACATCGAGAAGCCCGGCGCCCTTGATCTGAAGAAAAAGGCCATGTGGGAGGCGTGGAACTCGCACAAGGGTCTGTCCAAGGAGGCCTACATCAAGGTCTATGAGAAGTACGCCCCCAAGTATGCCTAAATTCAGATCAAAGCATGTGTTCAAAGCTAAAGAATTTTAATTTAATGCACAAATAAAATATATAACTTACCAAAAAAACGAAACAATTTGTTTTCTTTTGTTTGCTTGCACACAAACAGCAATTGCCCCTCTCTAGAAAGAATATTAATGGCAATTAGATATATTCTTTATATTAGTTTTTCATTTAATAAAGGTACTTGTACATTTATTTTAAAATCAGGAGCGAAATTTGAAAATAATTTTTATTTAAAATTGTAACTAAAATTTAATTTCAATGGGTTGATTGTAAAAACAAGTAGGGAAGCTAAAGTCTGTACATATGCTTAGAAAATTAAACGGAAATTTATTTCAAAATATAAAATAATTAATTGAGAACCTAAATTCTTTAAAATTTTTATTAAAAAGATCAATAAATGTTAAAGAAATTAAAATACCGCCATGAAGGTGCATTTTTCCGAAAGATAAATTTATTGCTTTCTTTTAGATACGAGTATACCTAAGATCATATCATTTTTCACTTTCATTAGAAAGTACAAAACAGCAGTAACATATATTATGACAACACAATAAAATTTTCGACAAAAATTCTTTTATATATTATAAATGCTTAGACCTCTCATAATTCTGTATGCAATATTTTAGTTTTGACAGGCAAGGATAATCAAGGAGCATAAATGCAAACTACAAAGCCTTTTGTTTGCCATTTAATAAACTATTCAAGAATACAACAAATAATTACGATGAATATTAGATTCCGTAAAATTTATCCGACCTATGAAATCTTTTGTCAAATTTTTTCAGATGAAGGCGAAATCCGTCTTCTAACTGTAATATTCTCGATAATGTCCACCACTTTCTAAACAATTTCTTATGGTTGTCAACGCATAAGGAGGACATTTTAAAGTTTTCATTTTATAATTCACAACACACTTTTCGCTTTTAAGAATTCACCTTTAGAAGGCTGCCTCCGATTGTGGCATGGAGACTGCAGCCGCTATGAGAGGCTTGGCCTGTCCTGATTTTAGCAGCATGACACGGATTTGTGCATTGTCCAGTGTTAGGGTCGCCGGTGGTAGTTTGTCGATGGGATCGAGCACGGCCACCACCTCGAAATCGACGCGCAGCGGTACGCCAGGCAAGACGCTGGGCAGTCGGGCCATAGACTGTTGTATGGTGTAGTGTCTGCGATCGGCATGCAGCAGCACTACAAGATTGGAGGCCATTTTGAATGAGGACAGATTCTGAACAGTAAGGTAGAGGCGAAAAGCAGGACCAGTGCCGCAAACTTCAGCTGCCAGCTTTACGGGCGCATGTGTGAGGTCTCCGGAAATGCTGGTCTCGGACGAGTTGATGGCGTCAATAGTGGCACGGGCGGCGGTGTGCCGGAGACGCCACAATTCCACTTGAAAACTGCCATAGGTAGCTAAAAAACTTAACGTTGCTTACAAAGGAAAATTAGTAATGGAAACTATAAGCAGACCTTTGGCATGCTGTTTCTCCCGCACGGCTTGCTCCACAAAAATTGAGCTCTTCTTGGGCTTATCCAATATGGAAACATCGCCGTTTTTTTTCCTGCCTGCGGCTGTCTTTGAAGCCAGCGATAAGGCCGAGGACTTTGGCTCAAAGCGCGCCAGGCGTCGCAAAATCTTGACAAACATTTGATTCTCTTGGGTAACCAGTGTCAGAACATGATCCTCCATTCCCATGCGCCCGTACAACATGGCAGCTACGGTGCTCGAAACCACAAACTCATCGACCAGGTAGCGTTGCAGGTAAAACTGAACGACTCCGCCTTGCAGCGCAATGGCCAACAAAGTGATGCCAAAATGGCTTAGCGTCAGCGACAGAATGCAGACTGGCAGTGCGTTGAGCTGGACCTGATATAGTAGCTTGCCACGCTTCGAATAGCATTGATAGAAGTGCTCCATTGTGGTCACCACAATTGTCTGATCGATAGGCAGCATCAACAGGCCGGTAAGTGGGCTGGAAATTTTAAAAACCTCCTGACCGTGACCCTCGTTGGTGGATTTTCGCAGCAAGTAAACGCCGCCGTTGCGAGTACCCACTAAAATGCTAAAGTCCGTCTCAAAAGTGCCCTGCACTGAGAGCAAACTAGGCGTGGTCTCATAGGCGCACGTCCGGGCCTGATACACCAAATTGAAGCCCTGTGGCTCAAGTATGAGTATGTCACCGGTATCGGTGGCCAACACAAGATGTGACGGTGGATTGGCATCGCTGGAGACACGTTTGAGGCAACACATGGCCACAATGTTGCCGTGGCGACCCACAGGAGAGTCGGCATGTGTGCTGATAAAGGACTATCAAGCAATGTAATGGAATTAATCACAAATAAGGGATTTAAATGTCTCGACAACATACCTCGCGTTCCTCCTCTGACAACTGCAAAAGTTTTTGCGACTTTCGCGACAATTTGGCATGCTCCAAATTTCTCAAAGAGTCCAACAACGCATCGCGCTTCGTCGGCATAACCGGCAATTGTCGCCAGACTTCCAGCTCCAAATCGTCCACCTCCAAGGCGGGTATCGTGAACTTGAAGTAGGGCTTCATATGACGAAAGAACAACACAGACTCAGCGATGGCCACAGCAATAACTACAACAAAAGAAATTGAGTAGGGGATGGGGGTTCTTTTCATTGTTCAGCTACCTACCTGGGGTCTTTGGTTCCGTTTCGTCTATGTAGAGGCTCTCTATGGCTGCAGGTATTCCTGGCAAGAGCTGCTCCTGCTTCAGCCTTAGTCCGCGGAATACCTTCAGCCTTGCGCTCGGCTCATCGTCCTCCAACGAAATGTCCGCTGCCAGCAATCGCACATAACCATCACACTGCACATCGCTCAACGCCATACAGCTTGATAGTGTGGTCAGCTTGGGCATCTCATCTTCAGTGTCCACATTAAGCCAGTTGGGAGCAGTTGTTCCACTAGTTGCCATGCTCTTTGAGTTTTAACTGAAATGCTTTTTAATTGCTTTGTGTGAAAAGAAACATATGATATTTTGTGTCCTTGCCGCTAATTTGTTTTGGTTTTTTTGTTTACCTTAGCAACAGACGATAGCTTGCCACATCGGCAAAGAATCGCCAAAAACGGTTCAAAACACGGCTCCATAACAAAAAATATTACGTTAGTACCACAAAAAATTGTAATTTTCTGATGAAAAATTGTAATCTATTGAACTGAAAGGCCAACGATAAAATCGTGCCGCGCTATTCGATAGAACGCAATTAAATATCGATAGTCAAAACGATAGACTTTACTGTGAATGTCAAAGTGGAGGCAGCATCGCGAGACGCTAGCAGTTCGTGGACTTAATTTATTTATTAAAAATAGCTAGTAAGACAACTTTCAATCGCGCTGTTGTATAAAAGTAATGACTGCAAAGGAGAACGAGGGGCCGGTCTTTGTGAAGGGCGAAAAGGTCCTCTGCTACGAGCCCGACAGCAAGAAAGCAAGCGTGCTGTACGAATGCAAAGTATGTTTAGAACCCACAATAACACATACACACACACACACGCACGCAAACGTCAAATACAAACGTCAGGCAAACACGACGAGGCGGCACGCGGCTTCGATTTTTCCACTCTTTTTCATCAACGAAAATTGTCATTTTTACAGGTTCTTTGTGTATACGAGCGCAAGGATAAACAGGGTAATAAGTACTACGAATATAAGGTTCATTTTCAAGGATGGAGCAGCAGTTGGGATCGGGCATTCAAAGCTGATTATTTGCTTAAAGACAACGTCGAGAATCGTCAGTTGCAACGTGAGTTGGCAGAAGCGGCACAACTACAAATGTAAGTAACGCTGTCAGTATTTGTGTGTATGTGTGTGCGCATTCCTTTGGAAATTGTTGTACGAGATGTTTGTTTATTTGTTTATTTTAATAGCGGTGGCTATTCATACAAGGACACAAAGACGCCAACAGCTCCAGTGAGTAAGAAGAAGCGTTCGGGAAGAGCTGCAGCGTCAGAACACGGCGGCGAGAAGCACGAAACTGATCCGCTTGAAATAGCACCGACTAGAAGTCGACAATCTCAGCACCACCAGGCTCAGCAGCACGAACTGCCGCGATCTCAGAGGTCGACGAGTGGTGGCAGTCGTTCCCGAGATAATAGCGGGGGACGCAAATCACAGGCAACGGCGCACGGTAATGTGACAATGAAAGGAAAGCGAGGTAAAGTGCGGGCTGAAGGTATGCCGCGATGCACATTTCGAGTGGCCACAATATTTATGTTTATTCATACTCTACACAGACGCAGAAGGCCTTGACGCATCCATGGAATCGATTAATCATGTAGAACAGGAGGATCGCGTGATGTTGCGCATTAGTGAGCGACTGCGCGAGTACATGGAATACGACTACAATATGGTCGTAAAGTTTGGTAAGCAGCATGCGCTGCCCGCTCGCATGCCCATCGTCTCAATACTGGAGAGCTTTGTAAAGCAACGTGCCGTGGAGTTGGCCCTCAGCATCAAGCAGGAGAGCCAACGGGCGCGCAACACAAAGGGCCGATGTGTGCACAGACAACGGGAGTTCGAACGAGTCATGTCCATGTGAGTAGCAAACAGTTTCCCTGAGGTCATATATATATATGAACGCTTTATATTTTCAGAGTCTGTCTAATTAAGGAGGTGGTTGATGGCTTGCGCATATATTTTGAGTTTCTGCTGGAAGATCAACTGCTGTATAAGGAGGAGAAACCATACACATATGCCTATCTCACCGAGGAGAACATGAGAAACTGCAGCGATATTTTAAACAAGTCCTTTGACTATATTAATCCTAACTGCGATACTGACCTGATAGGACTGGACGGCGCGCTGGGGGAGGTAGGCGTGGGTGATGTCAGCACAACAAATGGCGACGGTCTTGCTGACAGCGTATTAGCTCAAATCGACTATGAAAAACAATTGCAAAAGTGTTTGGAGTACATTGACAAACATTCTGGAAAGAACAATAATACCAGTGCGTACAAGAATAACACCTACTTCGCTGCCTACAATTTGCCTATAGAAATGCGTGACTTTCTGTTTGAAACATTTAACTGGCGTCTGCTAAATGATAAATCCCCACCGGAAAAGTCCATGGTCTTTGGCGCGCCACATTTGGCACGACTGCTAGGTGAGTGGTAGCTTACATTGAAGAAGCCGGAACTCAACTAATTGCTTATTTTTTGTTTTTGTAGTCAAATTGCCGGAATATTTAAATGTTTCACCCATCAGCAATGAAAGCCTTGGCGAGTTGTTGCCACATCTCGATACATTTATCAAGTAAGTGTAGAATTTATATCTGGAATGTAATAGAAATGCAAAGACTGAGATATTCCTTGACATTGCAGCTACTTGGAAAACCATAAGGAATGGTTCGACAAAGAGAACTATATGCACGACACACCTCATCAAGAGCAGCTACAAATGGAGCTGCTTGAGTCGCTCGACCAGAACCACGAATCGTCTGCTATAGCCTCAAACTGAAAAGCGCACCGAATAGTTTGATTTAAAACACAATTAGTTCCACATTGGAACATCAAGAGAGGCCGCAAGAACCGAACTGCTCTGGTTGCAGTTCATTTAATTAGGTTCGCAAGCACATCCATACATTAGCAATATGCGAGAATTCCGACTGAAGTACGATTACGCTTTATTTTTAATGTGTGGGAATTTCGCAGTGCTGAAAGCAAATGTATTTGCCTGCATATTTAAATTAATAATGATAGTACGTGCGATTGATCTTTTTAATATTATTTTATTTATGCATTTTAAAGCTTGTTTTTTTGTTTGTTTAAGAATTGTAATTGTCATTTTGGTTTTATCTACACACTTGTAAATAACGCGCTCTTATAAAAAAGTTTACATATGTATCTATGTATTATCGAATATAACTAGTTCTAAATGTTAAATATGGGAAATGTTCGATTCATAACGTTTTTCCCTTCTTTCTAATGTTAAATTAGAGTTGAGTAATTTTACATGCTAGTATTTTTTTTTTTTTCCTCTTTTTTGTCCTGCTCATATTTATGTACCAAATAAGGTTTATAACATCATTAGTATAAGGTATATGCTGCAATATATGCCAATATCAATGTAATTATGTCTACAATCGTACTTATAAGCAATTTTGTTTATGGAGGTTCGTGCATTTGGAAAACTAGACGGAATTGCCTGCTGCACACATTTTTTGTGACTCGCATTGCTCGATTCGTATGCACCATGGTACACACTTTTTTAGTTCCGAATACTCTTCTAATGGATTGGAATGTATTATAACGTTAAGAGTCAATCGTTGGACCCGTCTATAAACTCGCAGGTATGCAGTCTCAACTACACTACATACAAATATTTTTAAAAATATCAATTTATATTCAAACGTCTTCTTGGGTGTGTGGGTTTAACAATTACAATATTTTATACTAAAGCTACGGTCAGACACGCAGAGTTTTGCACACAAATTGCTGCTCAAGTGTCTACTGACTGAGAAAAATAATAATTATGCGAAATTTCAATTGTTAATTGGATTTGGAAAAATCGCGGATTGTGATACAAAAGTAAATTTTAAAACCGAAAAACTGACTCATTTTTCGGACTTAAGTGCAGTTTTCGATTCCCGAATACGAAAAAGAATACAGAGCATTCTCAAAAGAAATTAAACGAATTTGTGTGTAAACTATTAACTTGTCCAACCATATCTTAACAAGTGCTTAGAAATTCGAAATTGATTTTGTTGTATTTGCTTTTGTCGATCTACATTCACTGAACTGGACGGCTTAGATTAGATGCTGAAAAAATGTTGCTTTCTTTGTAACTACTACTGAGTTTCTGTTGCTCTCATTTTGTAAACTTGGGACGTTAACTTGGACGCTTAGATGCTATACAACTGGCTGATTGGCCTGGCTATTTGCTGCGCTTGGTGGTGCTGCTCGCCGTTGGGCGCATAAAACTGCTGACGGTAGCGCCACGGCTGGCGCTAATGCTGCGCTGCTGAGGACTCTTGGATTGCGGCAGCTGCGACATGGCGGTCTTCACGAGCATGGCACTGCGGGCGGCACTGAGACGCGACGTGGCAGTCTGACTGGTTTGATTCTCTTTGAAGCTGGTGCTGTTGCCCAGATTGCTGGAAGCGAAACGCTGACTTGTGTGGTGATTGCTGCTGGTTGGCATGCCTTTTCCACGCACAAGTATGACGCTGGGACCAACGCTGGAGCCACTGGAGCTGCTGCGACTGGCGGGCACACCGCTCCCGCCACCAGGTCGCCGAGCATTTTGAGCAGTCAACGGTCGTTTGCTGGGCGATGAGTCCACAGAGACTGTGTGCAGTGCTGATGGCTTGTGCACAATCACAGCAGGTCCATTCGAGGTGGAGGAGGCGGCGGCGGCGGTAGGAAGTCGACGCACCACCGTATTGGTGGAGGCGCCACTGTTGATGGAGGAGCGCGAAGAGCGCAAGCTGTTGCGTGAACTGCTGCGCTCCACATCTCGTTTGCCGGCCAAATAGCCGGGCAGGAAGTGACTCGGTGATTGCTGCTGCTGCCGTGATGAGGTGCGTGAGTTCGCAGCGGCTTGTAATGGATTGCCGTTGGGCATGCGCAGTGGACGGGTGGCGGCGGCTCGTGTAGCCGAAGGACTGCGCTTTAGTGCCGTTGTTGCTTGGACAGCAGGTGCTTGAATTTGGTTTTGTGACTTGTTTGCTGGTTGTGACGTGGTCGTTGAGTTTCGTGAGCGCGCATTTTGCAGACGATCTGCTAGACGACTGCTCATCCCCGTTATGGTCGTCGTGGCAGGCTTTTGTTTCGTAATTCCGGCTCGGGCTCGTACAGGTGCTTCATTTGCCTCGTTACATGATGAATTGGTGCTCTCCTCCTTGCCGTGGGAGGGTGTGTCGGAGACCAGACTCTGAGTTTCCTCAAAACCTTCATCGTTGAGCTCGTGATGGCCAGTGTTGACTTTGAGTTTGGTGCCTACACTAGCTGTTATCTCACGTGGCGGACTCCAGGGCCGTTCCGGAGTACCCGTTGGGGACTTGAGATTGCGTATGGCCTCGCGGACATCTTCCTGATTGATGGAGCTTATGTGACGACCTACCTTCTCCAACTTGGTGATTGTCTTTTCCTTGTCCCTGCTGCCCTCCTTTGGTTCTTTCTCCTTATGCTTGGACTCATCATCTTTGTGCTTCAGCAGACGGCGTATTTCGGTGGCACTGGCCGACTGCCTTATGTGCGAAGCCGTCTCCTTGGAGTCGCGGGAAATTGTCATTTCCTCATTACCACTGCTGTAGTCTGTGGGTCGCTTGTAGCGGCGTGTGCGACGCGCCATCGAGTAGCGATCAAAATGTCCAGGAGCGTCCTGTTCGCCGGAAGCCTTGTCCGTTGTGGGCGTATTGCTTGTCTTTGGTTTGTCCGTCATGCTCACAGTAACCACAGTGGTGTTTGGTGTGGCAATTACTCGTCGACTCACCGGCGGTGTCTCTATATTGTCTGCATCGATCTCTTTACGATTAGAGGTGGCTGTATACTGTGACTCGTTGTGACTCTTGTGGTGATCCAATAGGCTGGCAAACGTATCATCTTGCGGTTTGTTTGCCCCTGGGGACTTGGGCGGCACCGTCACAGTTGGCTCAACCCTAGGTGCTTCTGTTGGCTTCGTCTCCATTTGAATGTCCATAGCTGAAGGACGACGCACATAAATTTTAAGTCGATCGCTTGGTTCGCGTTCGCCCAACTGCTGGATGATAGACTTTCGACGATCCTCCTCGGCAATGGACTGCAACGGACTAGGACTCTGCTCCTGAGAGCGTTGTCTGCGGTACTGACGCAGCTCCTCGGCCGTCGTCAAGTGAGGTTGCGCCTTAGCCAAATCTGTTGAGGCAGCAGCCTGTTTATGCACGCGATCTGCATTGCTGGCATCTACAGAGAATCAATTTGAGTGCTGGAGAACAATGCTTGCAAGAAGAACCGATTACCAACCTGCTATAGCCTGTATGTTACCCACAACATCGGTTTGCTCCAGCGTTTTTGATGGCTTCCAGTCAGAGTAGACACGCTGGTATCGATTTGAATTATCCTCTCTTTGATGCTGGCTGCTGTTAGTTGGATTAGTACTGATCGTTGTCATCGGCATGATCTTGTCCTCTGGCAATGGATCCAGTTTTCGTTCGTTTTCTACAAAATCACATAAATTTGATTGGGAAACTTGATGATAACTCTATGAGAGCGCGTACCAGTGTCGTTTTCGAGCGATCGCCTATTGGCCGTGACCTTCTGACGCCTGCGATCGTATTCCTCGTTTTGTTTTTTATCATTCTCGTTCGACTGCAGCCATGTTTCGATTTTCTGTCGCCACTCACGGGATATTCTAAAAAACGTGCAATTATATATAAAATTATATTAAATTAATTGGCAAGATCAATCAACATTAGAAGAGCTTAATGAATGGACGACCGAGAGTAAGTCAAAACATTATAGGAGTATATTGGGGCCTTCGATTAATGGACCTGTCTGGCGACGCAGAATGCAGACCCTTCTCCAGACTGAGGCTGCGCTGTGGTGTAAAAAGCGCTTTTGCCAAAGATCTTAACCTCTTCTTCAAAAGGACCACCTTCCTTTTGCAATTTGGGCCTAAATGGTTTCAGTGCCTTACCATCCATGAGATACTTGCCTAAATAATTAATATAAAGAGGCTTCGAGAGATTTCAACACCAGTTAGGTTATATTTAGGATCTATCTATCTAACTTAAGGACGTCTTGGTAGGCAGGTAAGGGAAAGAAGTATTCTAAACTCACCTCGGTTTCGCATCCTCGTTTGCATGGGGTTGTTGTTGCTGCTGTTGCTGGGAATTTGGTGCTCCAGTGTTTGGTGTTGTGGGCGTACCGCCACCACTACTAGCCAGAGGTGACTGCATGCGCTCTTGCTGGAGTATAGGGGCAGGTGAACAAGCGCGCTCACGATCGACCCCGAAGCCAATATTCAATAGCTCCGGTCGTTTGCGACTGGAACTTCCAGAGCGTGCTCGACGCGCCCAGGAGCGATCTTGGATGAAAACAAAAGATTTAATAAAGGCTCATTGGATTCAATGAGACTATGCCTAGGAAGGAACTCCACGGCAGTGTTAAATTTGTCGGTATTGCCAGACAAACACCATGATGAGTGAGTCCAAGATTCATTGCAACTACTGCAAATTCTTCAACTTACCCAGACTGCCGTAAGCAGCTTTGCGTTCGCGACTTATGTGCGCCCCATCGTGTGGGCCCGTGGAGCTGCGTAGGAACTCCATTAGATCGTCCTCCTCGGCAAGGACGCGACTACGTCGACGTCTCAAACTACCATTGGGCGTGATATCCGGTGACATGCCATCGTGGGCCTCAATGCGTATGAACCCACTGTTGACATCGCAACCACTGTTAAAGGAGCCCATGCGTCGACGCGACAATGCGGGGCTGGCACGTGGATCGCCACTGAATGATTGATCCGTGGGAAATGGATGCTCTGTATCGGAGACAGGTGTACCGGCCTGACCAACTGCAACCAAAAAATGAGAGTGTTAAGGAATAATTGTAAAAAAAGTGGTTGAGACTTCCTACTTGGCCTATTTCTGCGCGCCAATTGCTCTTCGCGCTGCTTGCGACGAAGTGCTGCTTGTTCCTCGAGCTGTTGGCGTCTCTCGTTCTCCTTGACTGCCTGCTTGAACTTATCACAGAAACTCTGGAAGATCTTGAAGCACTCCTCCAGACGGAATGTGGCCGCATCATCGCAGAAGAAATCCGCTAGCTTAAGACGCATGGTTTCCACCTCCTTCATGCCAGCCTGAAGCACGGACATTTCCGTTTCAGCTCGCACTAAGAACTCATGCATTTGTTGCTTGATGTCGGCGTCCGTGGTTGGAAGTTCGATCTGCCGCTTGATCTTGCGAATTCGACCATCTAGCGTGTTTATCTCATTGTTGATTTGCTCCGAGGTGGTTCTACACACACACACAGGAAAAGAGGAATCGTTAACAGGGTTATGTTTGTAGTCTATTAAACTCGTATAATCACTTACTTGGTGGCATTCTCTAGCGCTCCCAGTTGAGTGGTAAATTTAAGAAGCTCGGGGTTGCGACGCTCTGCTTGTAGTGCCACAAAATGAATGAGATTCATGCCCGGCTTGTTTGCGCGAATATCTGTAAGTTTCTGTAGAGACGATAGTTTCACGCCTGCTGCATTGCCAGCATAACCGCCCGAATTGAGAAAGTTGCCGGCCACGACGACCATATAAAGCACCTCCTGCAGTGTCTTGTTATGGAGCAGATCATCACCAGCATATAACATGGAATTGATGCAGGGCTCCAGGTACCCAATATTCGCCGCAAATTCCTCCTTTAATAGCATGCTTTCAATGCGAAGTTTGTAGCTATGGCATAACGAGAGAAAACAGTGAGTTAGATCCTGGGTCGAAACTTATTCCTGTAGCTATTATGTAAATGGAAACTAATGTTTTGATGTAACAATTAAACTACCGAAAACAGTAAAGTTTTCATCTAAATTCTTAAGGGTCTCTATTTCTCTTTCAACTATTAAAATGTTCTGTTTAAAAAAGGAAAGGCAGACTAAAAGTCCGCTAAAAATCGTAGGGTTTTGCCGAAGATTGTCACTCACTCTTCAAGGTTTCATGGTATCTTATTGGATCAACAAATTATCATCCATTCCCTAAGGTTTAATGAAATGCATTTGTCTCGTATGACTCTCTAAACACCTTCATCCTTAAAGGTGTTCATGCCAAAATCCCCGGTTTTAAGGATATAGCTTCTTAAACTATTACGACTTTCCGTGTGATACACTTACTTGGGTACCTCCAGCAGCTGTAGCAGAAACTTCTCGGCATTGCCCAGTCGCGCCTTGTCACCGTTAAAGGACTTCAGCATATCCAGCTCGTCCACTTCTGGCAGAATCTTGAGCAGACCCCGCAACTTCTCCGCGCCAATGTCTTCGTGAGCGCCCTGTTGTATCAATTGTATGATATCTTCGTTGGAGCTGCGGAACTGCTTCAAAAAAATGTTCACATTAAGACTACGCTTGCCGTCGAGGAGCGTGATTTCAACGGATTCCTTTTTCACTTTACGATCGAGGGTGTCGTAACCACTGCCGGAACCGCCACCGCCGCCAGCACTGCCTTCCCGTCCCAACTTGGGGGAGCCCTGTGCACTGGTCGACTGCAGGCAAAACAAATCCTCCATCTCTCGCCAATCGATGTCCTTTCTGGGACTATGCTGATGATCGGTGGCCATGGTGGTCCAAATATTCTCACCACCCAGCACTTTCTTGTGAGGTATTGTGAGCCAATTGAGTGTCTTCATTCTGGTGGAAGGGGCCGGTGTGTCCTGTTGGGGTAACAGAACAGCCCCAGCCTCGCCCAGAGACGGATCCGGGGTACGTGGTCTGGCAGAGTTTGCGCCACCCGCCTGCAAGAAATTGCCATTAGGCGGGGGCGCGGGTGGTCCCCTCATCGGAGGTGGAGGCGGAGGCGGTAGCGCGCCATTGCCATTGTGCATAGGTGGTGGCGGCGGCGGTGGCAGGGGTGCCATCCCATTGACTGTGACTGTCGCCGGTGGTGGTGGCGGCGGTGGTACTCCTGCTGCCTCAGCACCACCATGACTATTTCTGGCTGAGTGCGGTGTGGGTGACAAGGGACCGCCATTCGGCAAAGTGCTGGGCACCCCCGAAGGCTTGCGTGTGGGACTGCTGGCATCCCCACCGCCTCGACAGGCGGGGCAGGTGAATTTTTGTGTGCTGGGCGTGCGCAGCAAGCGCTTCGAGTCTTCATGATTCTCCACCAGAGTGGCGCGGTGCACCAAACGCTCTGTGGTGTCCCATATGATATCGCTAACCGGATCCTTGGGATCGATGCGCAACAGGTGCTGCAGTATGTTGAGGAAAGGCACCTCCTGCGGCTTGTCAGCCACCTGTGAAGCAAAAAATTCGGATATAGCGATCAAAATTTTAACCACTGTAAGTCTTTAGCTGCACCACTGTGCGACATCGTTGTTGCGTGCAACGTCAATGCTGCAGTAAACAACCTTGGGTTGGGCAGGCCCACCAACACGCTTCCACACCATTATTTGAATACCCATGAGCTCCTATTTGCACTCCAGCCCGGTATTTGGAACATACTATACGTAATACACAATTAAATTCCAATTAAATGGCAAATAAAATGGGTAAATAGTACCCCTACGCCAGATGTGACAGACTTTTTACATATGGCAGAACTCTCTATTATTGACTTCCCATATTTTCAATTTGCGTTTAAGCGCAGCCATGACGTATTTGGGAGCTCTCGTCATCTTATGAACGAAATTTCTTGGAAGACTATTTGAGCCTACCGTAGAGCTTTTCAATTTTGTTGAAAACTCAAAGGGAAGCCTTTGAAAAGCCTACCATCATCACATAGCGCATGATTGAAAATTGCTTGCAGTCTTAAAAAATTCTGTAAGTGTGGTCCCTTGGATAACAAATAATAATATACTAAAATAAAATAATAATAAAAAAGTAAACATATTAACAAATTTCAATGATTAAAAAAGTGTAAAAGGCCTGATATGAAAAAAAATTGTGAAAGGCTTGATATAATAAATACATTTGAATAAGCAAACATTTTCAACTGTTGTGACATGGCCTAATAATAAAAATATTAAAAAAATAAAATTAATAGTAAGAACAAATTGTAAGAGGGTCGGAAATATGCCTGATATTATAAGCAATAGATTTGAATCAAATATCAGTCGTTATCATAATTTGAAACGTTTTGGACAATTTTAAAATTTTCAGTATATTTTTGTGAGTAATACTAATTTTACTTTCTTGCCAGTTTATAAAAGGAAATCTGGGTTTGAACAGTTTTTTCTTTCATATGAAACAAATTCTAGTGAGCATGAAATTAATTGTCCAGGTCGCGTTTTAATCGTTTGATTGAGTTCGTGACGAATTTGGGGCAAGCTGATGTTTTCTTACATTGCTCAATTTTTTTCTCGCCGAATATCACGATCTAGCAAGGACGTTTGCATTTTCAAAGGATTTCTCAATATTTCAAAAGGTCCATACCCAAATCAAATTTAGAACCTTTGGGGGGTTCTCTAAAATAAGGTTTATAAGAAAAGAAGGAAGCTAAGTTCTTTGAAGGTTCTCAAAGCACCAAAAAATGCTTCAACACTTATTAAATTAAATATCCTGTATAATTATAAAATTATAAATCTTAATTAAGGTTATAAACAATAAAGGGCGCTCGATTTAATAAAATGTTATAACGGTAAAAATTAACTGTACTATTGGGAGAATTCATGCGATAAGTGTTACCATTATTGGTAGAAAAAAAAGAATAATGCAATATTATTTTTATAACAAAAAATATGCTTGTCCCAGAGACTTCTTTCGCAACGTCAAGCATTTTATTTAAAAACCATTTATGCCTCGTTTTTTACATTCCAAGCTCTATTTTGTGCATTTAGCCTTTGCGACCCAAACTGAAAACGCGTCACATTTCAACGCAATGGCTGACTTCTGGCTCTTAATTGTCAATCTAAGCAAGGCTGTGTAACATTTTCCTTAAGTTTCTGTGAAAAGCATTTATTTGTAAAGTCCCTTTTCACTCACCTGTCGCAGTATTGCATAGAAGACATCAAGATGTGAGTTTAGATTGAGGCCGTCGGGGCCCTGCAGGCTTTGCGCCTCGTCGCATTCTCGCTGCTCCTCGAATACGTCCAATTGTACAATGATATCGCCCACACTCTGTGCGACTTTTCTGCAATGGGCGCCAAGGGAGACATGCAAGAGAGAAGGAGGTTGTACATTAAAAGTTAATGGATTTCTAGCTTATTATTCAAACACAACTGGCGCGATTCGCAATTTGTTTTGCATGCCGTTGACAATTCTTGCAATGTCGTTTAATTGATTTCTTATTTATGCCAGCCTGTCATTTGTTTTAGAATTTTTATATGCGATTTATGGCAAATATGCAAATATTGAGTTGCAATTGCATTTGGAGAGGAGTAGAGCTGTGCGCGTGACAATAATTGTCCTCACGAGCATGCACATTCACGAAACACAATTCGATATTATATTTCAAACTTGCGTGATTATTTCTTAAGTTTGTCGGTAATAGAAAATAATTTAAAACCATGTACTTATATATATTTCAGGAGGTGTAGCTCCCTTTCAACTACTCCAGTACAGACTTTTGCTATTTTTATACCCTGTACCCGTAGGGTAAAAAGGGTATATTAGGTTGGTGCAACGTATGTAGCGGGCGGAAGGAAGCATCTCCGACCCCATAAAGTATTTATATTCTGAATCAGCAACACGAGAGAAATCGATCTAGACATGTCCGTCCGTCCGTCTGTCTGGATGAACGCCTGGATTTCGGAAACGGCTGAGCGTACATAAACCAAACTTGGTATGCAGACGCTCCTAGTCCCTAGTCTATACGAGTTTATTTTACTTTTTTGAATTTACATTTTACATTTTTGTTGAAATGAATTAGAAGGCTTTTAAACAATTCTACGGAGATTGCTGTTAAAATGTTAGACTTTTCTTTAATTCAATAATTCTCCTTATAAAGGTTTAAAGCGCTCAAACCAATATTTGTTTTTTTTTTTTTCATTGTCTAAGATAATTTAATTTAGTTTAAAATTTTGATTATGATATTGGTTTAATTGTCAAGCTGGACCGAAATAGAGGAGTCTACAACTTCCGTCTTCTATAGACTCAGTTTCTAAAATACGAAGTCAGTCTGCAGAAGGGACATTGCCTGTTGACTTCATTTATTTATAACGTGTTAGAAGCGAGTTTCCAATTTCTACAGGAACTTCTGGTAAAGTGTCTCTTTTTCAAACAGGAAGAGCGATACTTTCTTGAGGTTTTTTAAATATTTGCGAAGATTTATAGGTTGACCTGTTATAGGTAAATGTACATATATGTATACCCCCTGTTTACTTAAAATTTTGACACTTGTTTTGTCCATGAAATAACCGATAATTTTGGGGCTTTTACGCTCACGCACGTTCACGCACTCGAACACGCCCGTAGCTCTAGGAGGGGGATAGGAGGTTGCTTGGCAAATCGCCCAGCATGGAATAATTGAGTGCAACAGTAGACGCCTGTCTTAGCTCTGACACTCAGTAACCCAAGCGAGTTGCCAAAAGATGCAAAGACCCCTCTCGCTCACCCCTCTGCCCGACCGCTGACAACTCACTTCAGATTCTGGACCAGCTGCAAGGCGCCACAACTATAGCGGTTTAGCGAGCAACAGAACGTGAGACGACGTTGCAGCTTTGACGGCTCCACGGCGATACGCAAACAAACAAACGAAAAATCTTAAAGTCGACGGCACAGCCTTGGCAATAGACTTTGACTTCGACTTCCAATTCACTACACTGCACGAAACGGCACGACACTAAGCTACACGATAAAGGTGACAGGTTCAAAACAAGTGGCAGCTGCTGCCTTTATTATTGTTGTTACTGTGGCTATTGTTGTTTTTCTCGCATGCCATGTTTGCCATGTTAGCAAAAATCGTTAGTACTGGTTTTGCGACGTCCTTGCGCAATGTCCTTGCCGCCTCAATGCTCACTGGCGAGGGCAGCAACAGCAGCAAAGCGACTGCAGCTCGTTGCTTGCTCCTTTTATGGCCACAAACACGAACACACACAAACACACAATAACGACGAGTGCCAATTTTTAATTGCATTTAATATTTGTAAAAATATATAGGCAGTATACGAATATATATACATATATGTATATACTTGTATATAAAGCGATATAGCGCCTTTGTCGCCTTCGTTTTAATAACGCGCACACATCAAAGCCAACTGCCAGGAAGTCGCCCGAGAGTCCTCATTCAGGCAATACAGACGCTGAGGCGCCCACGAGTCGCTGGCGAAGAGAGACAGAGAGAGATGCCGTTGCCAGTGCCGCTGCCGCTGCCGAAGCTGAAGCACCAAACAAAAACAACAAAAATAAACCAAATCAAAAATGAAAAAAAGAGCGGCCCATTTCGAGCCTTTTCGCCAAAAAGCCACAAAAACGAATGTTGTTCCTGCTACTGTGTGTTTGTTGTTGTTTTTGGTTGTTGCGCCGTTGTTGTTGGGAGCTCAGCTATTTCCCATAGCATCGAACTAGTTGCGGGAATTGGGCAAATAATTTGCACAACAAGTTTATTGACAACTATTTGCTACAATTATTTGTAAGAAAATAGTTTTCCTTTCTGACCGTCGCTGTGGGACTTTTTCATCTATTGGTTCTAAATAATTGCTCTAATTGATAATTATTCGGTATGCTGTGGTCACACGAGTAAATAATTGGCACGCAAATTCAGCGCAGATTTTTTTATTCGGTAATGTAAAGGACATTTCAAACCGGTTGCTGTGGACGAGCATTCTATATATATAAATTGTGTGCAAACCATTTGCCTGTCTGACCATTTTACAAATGATATTTCAGACCATTTAAAGTCTTACAAGGAATCGTTTCCATTTACACTATTTCTGCAATAATGTTAAGGGTACCATAAAAAAATGACAAACACATATAGAACCCGCAAATGACATATGTATAGACCATGAAGAAGGTTTCAAAAGTAGGGATGTAACGTTATTTTAATTTGAATTTAAATCTGAAATACTATTGTTATTCTCTTTATTATTCCCATTTCATTTTGTAAGGAAATGTTCAAGCATTGCGATTTCAAAATGGAGATTCGATTTCTGAAAATTGTGTCCTTATGTACCAAACGGAAAGTACTTTGGCTCCAATTTTTTTGTCAGAAGAGCCATTTGGTGGGATGTTTAAACTATGATTATACAAGTACATCAATTTCTAGATAGGTGTACATTTATTTTACAACTAATATTATCTGTTGCATTTATATTTTCCATAAAATATTTAACATTTGTTTATACAAATAGTTATAGTTAGTGTGGAAAAATGTGGGGAGTGGCTTTTTGTTGTTTAACCATTTCTGGCTTCTTTTTTACTGGCAACACTGTTGGCTTTGGCCTGTTGTTGGTTGCGAGCTGCTGCTGCCATTGTTGTTGTTGTCCTTGCCACGTGCTGCGCGCGCAGAAGTTTCGCTTCGGATTTAGTGTTTCTGAACACACTCACTATATTAGTTGATGAGCGAGAGTTCAGCTGTCGGCTTTTTATAATGACGACCCTATAGGCGGCGGCGGCGGCGGCGACTTCGGCGTCAACAAACATCGGCGGCACGTGATTGCTGATGTTGCTGTTCTCTTGTTGTTGTTGGCATGTCTGTTAGACATATGTCTAGTATATAGTATATGAAATGGATTCTCGGTTGTCGTAAAATGTTGGCGCGACTAGACGCGGAAGTCGGGCAAGTTATATGGGGAAGGGCCGAATAGGGAAGCTATTCAGGAAATTACAGCTATAAGACGGAAGTCTGCGCGGCTTTCTTAAAAACATAGCTAAACGGCATAGCTAATGGCAGTCAACTCATTGGCGCTGTGATTGACAGTCTGGGAAATGAAACGAATTATATATTATGTTGTAATTTAATAGGGGCGGCCAAAAATAAATTATCTAATTATAGAAACAACAGCGACTTAAGCGGCTTAATGCGATGTCAATATTGCCGGCTACCAGACTACGCCATCGCTGCTACTCAAATAGATGGCTTTTAAAGAACATCGAAGCGCGCAAAAAATAAATAAAGAAGAATTATTGATCGGAGATATTTTCATTCCTCCTCCATTGTTTGAATGCTTGAAAGCTTTTCGGAATTAAATTCAAAAGCGCGAAACTACGCATTTAATAAATGCGCGCGAGCGTTTAATTTGAATAACAATGGACCGATCGGATGTGAATGAGTGGGATGCTCAGGCCGGAGGGGGGTAGGGGGTACCTATTTGGCATAACATAACAGAGTGGCGCTGCTTCAGTTGGTCCAACTGAGGCAGTCAAATAACTGCACAAATGCCAACACAAATGGCACGTAACAATCAATTAGGCAGTTGAATGATGGGGCTAGACTTGGATGGATAGTCGTTGGATACTGCGGGCAGCTCGCTTGGTGTAGTGGGCGTGGCCAGCCACCCAGCCAGCCAGCCAGGCAGGCATCCACTTGAGTGATTGCCATGCCATGCCGAATTGTACATTTCGATTCGAGTGAACTTCTTTAATTTAATTGAATTTGCTTTAAAACCAAATACCCGAAAATCCAAAAAACGTTTGTCAACTTGTGCCGCGCATGCGCAACAACAAGACGAGAGCCAAGCGCACTACTTGTATGGAGTCCATTAATATTTATGCCGGGCTGGGCGAGAATGTTGTCGCTTGTTGGGGCACGGGTCCGGGCACTGACTAATTGATTTATTGTTGACTAATTAAATATTTAATTGATTGTTTGCAGACGCAACGACAAATTTTATTTGCATAAAACACAAACCGGTTCACAGTGGTGCCAAAATTCTACATACCAGCAATTTCTTTCAAGTTACCCCAATAGAAGATAATAGGAAAATGGGAACTGCTCTAAGAAAAAAAAAATGAAAATCACTTTTTACATTACATTCTTCATATAAAGTACTTAGTTGTACAATTCCAACTTCATTTCATTCTATCTTTGTTACTTCCAAATATTTAATTACTAATATGACTTCGGTTTGGCTACTTCTGTTTTTATTAAAAGGGCTGGCTCCGTTAAGGAAATATAATTTATTAAATGTATTTAATTTAAAACTAATGAAATAAAAAAGCCCTATAAAAATTACAAAAATATCTAATAACAAATCCGACTCGTTGGGGGAATTTATTTGCCAAACAGCCAGCTATGCAGATAGGTTATTAGACCCAACAAAAAATAAGTAGAGATGGAGAAATAGATTCAAGGGGTTATGGGTATTTAACTAAACTATAGAATAGAAGGAATGATGAGTACATGAATCATTTCTCATTTAATTTAAAATTAATTAGTTTATCATCGCTATTTTGATATAAAATGTACAACCTATTCTGTTTTTACTCGGTAGATTGGTTTCAGAAAAACCGTGCAAAAAATATAGGTTATTGGTTCCTTATCTCTAAAACCTATGAAAATCAGTGAAAAACAAGGTGTTTATTTCATTAAAACACATTTATTAATGTGCATAAGGGCCCATATAAGAATGGTTTCTAGCTGTTTGACAGCTGTGTGTTTTTTTTATTTATTTTGTGTTATTTTGAATCGTGCTTAATAGAATAAAATTTTATATTTCAAACCGTGTTAAATCAAAGCCGTGTAAAACAGAATTAGGTGTATAGCCTGTACCCCAAAGAGTAAAAGGCCATATTAGTTTTGTGCGAAAGTATGTAACACACAGAAGGAGGCGTGGCAGACCCCACAAAGTATATATATTCTTGATCAGGGTGACAAGTCGAGGCGATATAGCCGTCTGTCCGTCCGTCCGCCTGTATGAGCGCAAGGATCTCAGAAGGTACAAGAGCTAGAATTACCAAACTCGATATCCATGTCTTTAATTTAATTAATATAATTTTTTTAAATTAATTAAAAAATTTTTTTTTTCCTTTTTTCCTTTTTGTGGGAGCTACAGGGTATTTAAGAATTGAGCTCGCTCGACTTTAGCATTATTTTCTTGTTTCATATAAAAAAGTGCGAAGGGGCGTGGAATTGTGCTGGAAAACATATAATCATTATTATTTCTTCTTCAAAATCAGGCTTTTACTTTTTTTCCCACTGTGCGCCACTCTGGACAACAGTGTGGTGCGTATATCTAAATATTTGCATTTGTTTGTAGCCAGGCGGCATTTCTTTAGCTTGGGGCAAGGCACAGTGGGCAAGGGGCATGGCCAGCTAACACCGTACGCTCACTATTTATTAAAAAAAAAGTCTTGGGCGCTTTGGCATTGAGCAGCAGCAAAGATATACATACATATATTTTGTTCGGGTTGTATTATTGTTTTGATTACAAGACGTCGTCAATGTTGTTAACATTTTTTGATCGATGCCCGACAAGTGGAAGTGGCTGGCGAGCTCGAGTCCCCCAGTGCGATCCAAGTCGTTGGCATAAAACGCAGATAATGATGCCTGCTGGTCATGTGAAAATGTTTGCCATGCAAATGAACGGATTTGTAAATCCATCTGAGTACAATAAAAAGGCAACCGCGTTAAATTGTTTATGTTGTTCATTTGAATCCAATAGCAACAAGACCCATGTTGGCGAATAGTTATGATGTTATTATTATTATTGTTTGAATGTTATTGTCATTGTTGTTGTTGTTGATGATGTGGGTGTGTTTCAGGGTTTTCTAAACCAAGACACAACATGTGCGACAAGCCATGCAAATATTAAAATAAATATTGGACATATTTTTAAGCCACGTAGCCAATGCATGCAAATTTATTTATGCATGTGTGTTTGGTTTTGCGCACATCTTCTTTATTTCGTCCAATTTGTCATGATAGAGTGCTTTATGATATTCTTAGATGACCATGGGAGATATTTGGCAGGTATGCCTCTTCTCGAGTACGATAAATGCATGAACGTATCGAGCTGAGCTCAATGTGTCCGAGTCAATTAAAATGAAATTTATTTTATTCCAAGTCGATGAGAAAGATTAGATCTGAGATTTATTTCCCAGTTCTTTGCTAATGTGTTCAATCAACATTTTTTGCATTGATTCGAAGAATTGCGAGCATAGCGAGGGGCAAATTATTGAAATTTTACTCTCAGCGCAGATCTTACGAAACTAAATAAACAATAACTCGCAGTTAATCAAGACAAAAGAATTATAATTGGTTACAGTTCTGACAAAGCTAAAGCACATTTTTAGACTGAGTTCGCCTCTTCAGCGTCAACAGCACATTAAAAAAGTAAAGGAAGTTGAAAAAATGTGTAGCTTGACTTCTCTATTAAAATTATAAAGATAGAGAGATGATTCGCATGATTTAGAATCTAGAATCTATCTATATTATAGATAAATCGATATAGACATGCACATCCCTCCGTCTGGTTAGACACCTAGTTTTTGGAAATGAAAGAGGCTACAATCATAAAACTTAAATTTTTGGGCCAAACAATTTGTTCTGTCGTCCCTAATTTTAACATAAAGATTCTTCCAAATCTAGATTTATGTGAAAACACTAAATGAAATCATTGGAAACACTCCGAAACGAGCTTAAAATTCGACACCTGCTGTTGACCTATGTTGTACTTTTGTTTATTATTGAGGCAATAAGTTCCTAAATCCTGCGACAACTGTTTCTTAGCGTTGATAAGAATGGCTCTTGATTTATGGTGTGTCTATCACTTATTTGCTATAAACAATTAGACCAAATATTTTATCTAGTCTTGAGAGTTCGATTACATATACGCAGTTAAATTTAAAATAAATAGCCTCTCAAGTCCTTTAAATCATTTGGAAAAGTCAATTACATCACATCGTTACATATTCTTAAGTGACTATGGTCTGGAGCTATATTTTATACTCACCTAAGGTTGCTGAGCAGCGGCAGAACTTTAAGGCCTGTAAAGAGGAAAAAGATAAATATTTACAAATAGAAAAATATTTCTTAACTTTAACGAATTTATAGAAAGAAAAAACTGTAACAAATTATTTAAATGTCTGGCTATTACTTAACTTAAAAGCATATTTATAAATAAATAAAGAAATACTTTTAGTACGCTTTATTGAAATAGTTTACCAGTAAATTTCGCTTGAATGGCTGTGAAAAAAGAGTGGATGGAGTCAGATCCAGTCCACTTGTTATAACAAGTACAAAACTTGTATATCCTTCACCCACCTTTTTCCCCACTACACTCTTGCAATTAAAATCAACTTTACCTGTACTGTACCCATTAATCCTATTCCTAGTTATATAATAATGTTCAGCCACGAACAGGCGGTTAGAGTTTCTGTTAAAAAGAGTTTAAGTTTTAGTTTGAAAGGCTATTTATTTGTATGGCAACGAATCAATTCAGAAAACCCTCTAATTTCCTTCTGTTGCTGCTATCGAAAGAAATCAATCAATAGTGGCAAAATTTCTAAAACATCGACGCTATCAATAGTGCCATCAATTGCTTTCCAGATCTATAGATAATGCAGCTTATGGCTTTATATTTTGTTCTAGTCCGTTATCAAAATAGGAGACCAACACCCACTAAAAACTTGGCGGTACTATGTTGATGGTAACTTCATTTAAATGCACTTCAAAAATTCTACAAGTATGTGCTGTCGGGAGAAACATGGTTGCATATGCTTTGTGCATGGGTATTTGTAAGATAGTAGTTATAATATGTATAAATAGAGTTTTAACAACTCGTCGGCTAGTCATTGACAAACAAGCCGCATCCTGCCCTGTCTTCATGTAAAGTTCATGAACTGTAAGAACTGGAAGGAGGGTGTCAGCTCCCCCTAGCTCCCCCTAGCTCCCCATACCACTTCCCTGCAACGGGAGTCGTCAGCTCCCAGTTTTGACTTTGATTGAGCGCAGTTGTGCGTGCGCAGGCGCAGCCGCAGCCGCAGCCCCACACTTGACTTGAGTTCGTTTGGGTTGGGTTGGGTTGAGTTGAGTTGGTGAGAGAGGAGGAGTGGAGCTTGAAGTTTGAATATGCAATGCATTTGGCTTTTTATTGTTCTTAATTAAAATAAATTGAGCTGCGCTTTTTCAGCATTACAAGAAAATAATAAAAATGACACACGAAAGCAAAATCTCAACGCGAAATGTAAGTCACGCAACTGACACTTTTGGGGGCGGTGGCATCTCATCACATCATCGTGTTTTTGAGGGACCTCTTTGTTTGGATGGGTAGTGAGGGAGGAGGGAGGGGGAGGGGTAGGGCTATGCCAAGAAATTCCACAGCGACACATTCGAGTTGACAGACAACGCATGCTGTTCACCATTTGGCAATGAAAATATTCTGTTTCAAGGCTACTTATATGGCGGCACAAAATCGGTCAGCCTGCTCGATCGCTCTATAACACTTTCAATGCTTGCCGCGTTTCAAATTTCCAGGAATGTTTTATCACAATATACTTATACATATATACATATACAAGTACATATAGCACGATTATTTGCATTATGTTTTTTGTGCATTTTTCTGCTAATGCCACTTAAGTGCCCAATTATCGGCTTGGTCTGTATGATTAAGCACACACATTCTGAATCCGTCTGTCTGTCCGTTCGACAGGCATCGCCTCAGTTTGACAGTTCTGCGCGTTGTGCTGTCGGAATCTGTGTAGCTATATAGCCCGTATCTGCTATATGTCATGTGTCTGTCTTTCGAGCATTCATAGCTCGCAGGCCGGGGCGCACAGCTCAAGCATTGCTGATTTATGTGCCATGATTTTCCACTTTGGCACGCAATGTTTGTTGTTGTTGCTGGTGCTGTTCATAAATTTATTTGTTTAACAATTTTCCATTTAGTTGCAAGCAAATTTCAATTTCAATTGATTTATAAAGCGTCAACAGCTCAGCTCCACAATGAACATAGTACATACAAGTACTATATAGTATTCAAATCATCGGCACAGCGACCGTAGCCGAAACCGAAACACAAATGCCTAACGAATCGATTTGATTTGATATTTTTGTATGTACATATATAGTATATATATTTTATTGTTTGCTGCCATGGCATGTTATTTAATAATTAATTATGTATTGACTTTAAACTGTCATTCCCCCCTCCTTGATGGATGGGTGTGGCCGACATTTTATGTTGACTTCGCGTGCAAAAAATACTAACAATGGGGCCTAGAGTTGGTCAGAAAAATAGATAACTCTAAATGTTTGGCCACAGGCTGTGTTGAACTTGGAACTTGAAACGCTGTCCACGCAGGACCCACATAGATCGTTAAAGGTCGCCCGAAACAACAAAAGAATTATCGCCAATTGCTCACACACTTGCGATACACAAAGAAATGTTTTATGTCTCTCTGCCTCTGTCTTTGTTTTTTTTTTTTATTATTTTTTTAATAAAACTTTTTAATTGCACGCCTTTTATGGCTTTCAATTTCAAACAAATACTACAAATACAACAAGTAGTCGTAAAAAACAAATTATTAACGTCAATGTCCCAAATAAGGCGCAGAGCTGTAGGAGGGAAACGGGCGGGCACAGAAGCGACGACTTTCACGACTCTACTTTGCCTTCTTTTATATTTATTTCAAATTAAAAAACACAACAATATAACAATGTAAATGGAGGCACACATACGCGTGTATTGGCAGGCACAGCGAGAAGTGTGGAAATAAAAACGAGCTTGACCGGAAGCTTAGACAGGCAGGCAGATGGCGAACGAATATGGCGGCACAGTCAGCTGATCAGAAATGGCGATGGATAATGCGAATGCGATAGGGAAATTTCGTTGACAATACAAAAAGGTATGAAATATTTGTTAGTTTAGTCAGCAAGCTAGTTCCACAGATTTCATATAAGTATTAGCTCAGAAATGACGAATTGACCATTCAACCAGTAGATTTAATTTAAGATCAATGGTATATACCCCACACAATTTAATTAAACTAAGTTTAGCTGTATGGACATAAATACCCTTCTTCCATTAACATTACCTCAGAGATGACGAATGATAATGCAATAGGAATGGAAAATATTTTTCGCGAAAGATTCAAAAGTTAGCCCCGCATGTCATCCGTTTTAGTGAAGTATTTTCTAAACATTAATTAGAAACAATTAGTTTAACATATCGATTAGAAAGGAATTAATTATTATGATTATTATCATTATTATATCATTATCTACATGAAATGCAATCAAATATAAAGATCGTGAAATACACGATTCATTACTCGCTGTTTGTAGGGGCACTGCGGTCTATTTCGGCGGCTAAAAACCCATTTAAGATTAGCACCGCATTGCTGAATTTCTTTTAATATTAAATTCTGTTTTATAATGGTTCACGATTTTCTTAATTGTATAAAATTACAGTATGATTTGCTATTGATTTTCAACGAAATGAATAAATTACAGCTCCAAAGAAATATCCATAAAATCTACAACTATGTAGAATGTAGAAGATTAAAAATCATGTGGTTTAGTGACAACTCGAATTTCCTAGATCAGCGAGTAAATGAGACGAAATATTAAATTATATTTAGGATAAGAAAAAATTGTAGTTAGTGCATAAAATTTGCAGATTGAGGGCTTGAAACATATCAACTTTCCTTCATAAAATGTATTGTTTGTAGTTATTATTATTTCAAGATTCAGGATGAAGTAAAGTTTTTATAGAGAACAGTTAGCTAAAATGGAGATATTGAGAAGAAAAAGCTGCAGCGAATAAAAAATAGAAATTTGTTTTAATAATTATTGGTTTCATTTCAACTCATGGAACTGATGAAATATTTCAAGTTATAAATATGTATTCAAGATATCGAAATATATTTCCCTACAAAAATATCAAATATCTCATAAATAATCATGTAATGAGGGGGTTGTCGTGGAATTTTAAATTTGATTTCGGCAACGCCTCGAATCGCGTGCGCGTGCTCCGTTGGTTGTAATGCGAATTCAATGGCCAACACGATCATTACTGCCTGGCCTAAAGGTGCGTTGCCACAAAGTAACGGACTAACCGACTAACTGACTGACTGACTGAGTGACCGCCTGGCTTATGGTCAAGGCCATTGTGGCTGCGGGCACATCAATCAATGAAATCGAAGACAGCTCGGCATGGACGGAACGACGGACAGACAGACGGACGGCACGCGGACCAAAAGGCAAATGGCAATGTTTTTGGAATTGGCGGCTTTTGCGGTTCGGTTCGCCTAATGTGTTTATCGTTATCGTTAACTAAGCGTCGCAGAAACAATAACAAAGCGCCGATATAAATATAATTCAATAATAATAACAATTATGTGGTGTTTTGGTGAATTGTTTTGCGCTGCAATTTGATGGTCGTCAGTTCTTTGAACCCCAGCAGCGTGATATTCAAGTGTTTCGAACTCCAACTCGCACTCACCTATGAACTCATTACGTATGCGTATTCGTTCCTGAAGCGTGGCTGCCGATATAAGGACGCAATTTATGAAGGCCAATAGTGCCACCTGATACTCGACTTGTGTGGCCGACTGCTCCAGTTCATTGATAACGATCTTAAAGCGATAGCGCTCCTTTTTGAGATTCTAAACAAATGAAATAAGAATGCGAGAAAAGAATTTAATTTCTTGTCGTTTATGTAAATGGTATTTTAAATGTTTGGCAAATTAAAAGGCACATCATTTTAATACCCTCTTAAGATATCCAATTGTTATGCCCATTTTAGTGGACTAATTGCGTTTTAAATATGTCTGTGCAAACTCCTTTATTAATATATTTAGTTTAGTAAACATTTTTTATTATCTAGATTAGCGGAATGATGATTCTTCCTTGTAGTAGCTCGTAGAACGAGAGATTATTACCAATTAGGTTGACTTTTATCCATTTACTCTTGCGCATAGCTGCGATACATGAGATGGTGAGACATTCCTTAATATTTAGGGCGGAGTTCTAGAATTGACTTTGTTAAAAGTTCCATATTAGTGCACGGTATCTTAGACACCAGGTTGCGGTTCTAAGTCAAGGACATTGTTAATTTCTTAGCTCTGTCGATAATTGACGATGACATCTGTCGTCGTTAGGAGGCGTGATGTGTCTCAGCTCTGTTCTCTGCACCTTAATAATAGTCTCTGCGCGCCCAACCATCATTTGAAGAATTTGAATTATTTGCACCGCCCGCTGCTCAAGCGCTAGACCATTAGGATTTCGTAAATGAAGCTCACACTCAGTTGTTTAAAGTCACAGCGAAACGCACATTTGATTAATGCATTTAATTTAGTTAAACTTTTATTGAATTTTTCAAGTCTGTTCAACGTAACGGTAGCTACCACTTGATCCTAAGTTAATTATTGTTGCGTTGAATTTGTATCGCTTGCCAAATAGTGACAACTTCATAATCAATTATTGTTTGCTGTATCAACAATTCGCTATTAAAAACATAATGTTATGTGGCTGCGTCTACAACGCTCTCGCTCTCCCTCATTGTCTTAAGTCTCTCTGTTAGTTGTTGCCCTTCTACCGACACACGCAGGATAACTTCAATCTCGCCTGTTCAGCCTGTTCCTCAATGTAGAGCTACCAATATTTTTTGGAAGTTCTTTCCAAAACTATAGCCAAGACTAGCTTTCCACAAATGAAACAAGTTGACTCTGAACAACAGCGTTATATTGGTTTATTATAAATCTCCACTGGCAACTAATGACGGCTGCGGCTCAGACCGACTGTCTCTACAAAAACAACAAAAGGGCGAGATTGAATCAATCGTGTACACATGTTGGAGAGCTACAAAAAACTAATCTGCGCGGGTGGGCAAAACTTTTATACTGGACTATAATGATCGCAAGGCCCCAACACTGCAGCTGCGTTTACAGATCAGCTGCTGAGATGAGAGCTGCAGCGCAGCCAAATTGCAATGTTAATTAGAGCAAGATTATGTTATGTACATTATGTTATGTAACAGCGATTGTTGATGCAAACGGCAAAAAATAATCTGTTATAAATTTACGTTACAAATTTAAGGCACAAACAAAGATTAAACAAAACAATTAAGAACTTTGTTACAATTCTTTGAAGAAATTTTTAGGCAAATATTAAAATTTGAAACAAATTACGCACAGTTAACAGCATATATAACTTCGTTCGGAGTTCGGAATCGGGAATACTTCTGATCATTTATTTTCGCTTTCTTATACATTTCCAAAATCTGACTTAATGCTTTCCCAGAAGAAAAGCTTCTGCGTACTCACCTTATAAAACTCAAGTGTTTCGATGGCGCGTGCATATCCCTCCGAATTATAGGCGCATAGAGCGGAGAGTAGCTCGAAGACTTGCTTCTTCACTGTTGCATTCTGCGTGTCCAAGGCAGCGCCCAGTTTTGAAATATAATCACGATTCTCAACAATGTAATCCAGGCCGATGCGTGAGTCCATTGTGAATGATTGGTGGGGTATGGGGGCGTGGGGTTTTATGCAAATGCCTAAATACGTTCTCGGTTGTCACGCCGCAATGGACGCTTTTCAATCAGTTTGATGGCTCGATCGATCGTTGGTTCCTTTGAAATTGTCGGCTTAGTTCTAAAGCGTTGCCTTTTTTGTTTTTCTTGAGTCTTATTTTAGTTTTGGGCCGTGTGGCGCTGAATGCCTAAATAGGCCAATTCCATGCCGAATGCTCTCGGCCGAGAGTCCGCAGCTCACGTGAATCTGAATCTGTTGGGCAGACTGGAGGACTGGGGGACTGCAAGACTGAATAACTGAAAGAGAAAAAAGACAATCAGTTAGATTGCATTACTTATTGAGAGGCTAAGGGTAAGGGCATGAGTATTGAAAATTGCTTGGGGGCCGTCGCACGCTCCGCATTTCTAATTGTAGGGCTTGGGCCTGCCTTTGCCTGGCCTGGCCTGGTCTGGCCCGGTCTGCCATATGCATGTTCAATATTTTGTGCATTTTATATGCTCGCCATGGCTCGACTTTAATTAATTTATGGGCCGCACTCGCGCGCTCAATAAATTAGTGTTGTTTATGGGGACAAGTCAGCCTAGGGCTCCCGCTCCCTCGTACAATAATTTTATTTTATTATTTTGTTCAATTGCATTGATTTCTATTGTACGTGGTACGTGTATTGAGCCGTTGGCACACTACTTACAAATTACAACTATTTTTAGGTTTTTGTTGTTTACTTTACTTTGCACATTTTGGCGGTCGGACATCAAAGGCCCAGCCCGGCCCGGACTGGCCCGAGCAATTACGCCAAATGATCTTGTTAATTTGTTTACACTTTAAACATTCGACACATTCGATTAGTTTGAATCTAAAATTCACAATCTCGGGCCGACAAAGCGGCACATTTAACTTGTATATTAATACAATATGCCATATAGTGAACAAATTTTCATTAAACAACCAACAGATTGACGAGAAAAATATACAAAAAAAGCCGATAAAATGTTTAACATTTTTGTTGAGACCCGTACAAAGCTCACTCAGCTTGTCAAGTGGCACTTTATATTATTTGAAATTATAATTTGTGCCGCATTGTTGTAGTTGCTGCTGTTGTTGTTGTTGTTGTTAGTATTTTGAAAAGGTCCGCCAGCCAAGCTGAGACAAATGGGAGTTCGCGATCGCCATTTATCGTAGAATTTGCGTTTGATGGGCGACGCTAATGAAATCACATAAAATGCCATCAAATAAATGTCCAAAATAATGAACGACATCCTTTTTTTTTGTGATCTCTGCTCCGGCATTAATTTGTGCATTTAACAATAAAAATAGAATTCAAATGAAATCGAAAACAAGTTCTCAATCAAATGGTAGACATATCGCTGTTGTTATTTTGTGCGATTTTTGTGTCATGTTTTAATGTTTTTCATTGAATTTCTGCATATATTTTGTTGTGAGTTTTAATGACAAGCCACACTCAACAATACATTTAAAGTCTCAAACTGATCAAAAACAATAATATGCGTGGGTCGGTTGTAGTTTATGATTCGCTCTTTTAGTTATTTCGGCGTTGCAAGGAAATAAAAACACAAAAATAAATAGCAAGTAAAAATATTGAGTTTCCAAAAATTCGAAAATAAAATTTTATAAAACTATTAAATTATTCCAAAATTAGATGCCTAAATCTCAATTAAGAGATATGGATAGCTTTTGGGCAGATCGAGAAAATGAATGTAAAACAAGGAACAAATTCGATCAAATTCTTGTGTTTAAACACATCAATTATAATTACATTTGAAAATCAGTGTAAAATAAGAAACAAATTGTATTTAAATCTTCATCTCAAACAAGTTAGTATTGCAAATCTTTGGTTAGAGTTCGTTTTTAAGCTCAACCAAATATTAGGCACATCAATTATAATAACACAAATTTAAATATAAATTAAATAAATTTAAACTAAAACTTATAACCGTTATACCCGGTGAACAGTTTCATGGTCGTTCCTTTAAAATGCGAAGACACTGCCTAACAATTAACAGCGAATTGTTTTCTTACATATGTTAATTGTTAACAGAAGACATCCATATCAAAATGGCCGCCATCAGCTGTTGCAGTTGTTTACAGTATCGGCATTGTTGGCATATTTTGTTGGCAAAGAAAAATGCGTAGTTATATTTATTTAAACAAACTGCGTATTTAGTAACGATGTGTTTCAAAAATAAGTGCAAATAGGTCCCCAAAAATTTATTTCATTGTTGATCTATGGCGAATTATGTTTTCTGTGTGTTTTTTTCTTGTGGCAAAATTCGCGCTCCTGAAGGGTGCGCAACAAGTGTGATGTTGCGGCATTAGTAAAATAACATGTTGCCAAATAATTGAATGTTGTTAAAATGTCGCACATTATTTATAGTATATGTTAAAGTGCATAATGTTTTTGATGTGAATAAAAGTTTTTAATTTGCAATTCTTGTTTACAATTTGTGTGGGAGCGGCGGCAAGAATGTTAACAGCGGAGTCCTAACAGTGCGAATGTTAAAAGAGAAGCGCAGTAAACATTGTATGGGCAAGATAACAGCAAACTGACATACATACATATGTAAGTACATATACATTTTATGTAAATGCGTTTTAAATATTCCTCTGTAGCTGTTAACAGCCATGTTGCTTAATTGAGATCAATTAATGTGTACGTTAAGATTTATCAGTTATGTTGTTTAGTGTAACAACCTGTTCTAAATGGGTTCCAACCAACAGGGCATAGCAGCACCCGCAATCATTTAACTCTTCTATGGTAGCTCAATAAATTGGAATGCTTATCAGCCAGTGGTGAATTCTTTGAACTGGTTCCATTTCCATTTAGCCCAGCCAAGACGCTGTTGGCTCGTTTATTGCAGCTATTTATTGCCAATTAGTTTTATGCAAATTGAAAGTGCCGCTTAACAGCAGCAGCAGCAGCAACAACAACAACAACAATGGCAAACCAAATAACATGCGCCTTTTAATTGAAATGTAAACAAAGTCGAGACACGGTCAAGTGATTAAAAGTGTTCGGCAATCATTCATTTGGCGTATCGGAAATGCCGAAAAGAAGGAGACACCAAAGCCTGAGAACGAGCTGAGAAAATGGGCAAAAATGTTAATGAACTCCCGCGAATTGTAACCCTAATTAGAATTTGTCAAACGTGCCGGCGCAGTATTTTATTTTTTCCGTTCCTTCTTTTCAATGGACTATTGTCGAGTCGCCGAGACAGGCTCGACTCATTTATCTTGCAGTCGGAGCAATCAACGGCACACCTTTGGACAAAAGCAGGCGTTGACAGGCGCAAATGGTTTTTCATAGAGCCCCCCCTCTGCCTGCTACTCCATACCTTCTCAATCGACAATGTCGGCCGACACAGGTGCCGTCGACTTGGCGTCGTCTATAAAATGTCAACCACATATTCACAAAACATATTGTTGTAAATTATTTATGCTGTTGTTGTTGTTGTTGTCGTCGCTTGAAGTCATGTTAAAGTGCAAGTAATAATTCACAAATTTCAAAACATTTCAATGCTCAACGTTTGGTTGTTCACCTGGCTATTGTTGTTGTTGTTGTTACTGTTGCTGATGTGGTTTTTCTATGTTATTTTCAATGTCTCGTGTCTCTGGTTGCCAAGTGGGTGACAGTTCACAAAGCCGCATTATTAAACGTATACTCGTATATACATAAAACATGATAATTTTGTATAAATTATGCTTTGGGTCTTTAACAACATCACAGGGCGTATGCTTAATGTGATTAAATGTTGTGCAAAGTGCATAAAAATAAACCCAAATATTTGATGACAGCCTAATGGCTGCTCTACCCATTAGCTTGGCCCACGACAGAGGTACCTGGCGATTTGGATGAACTTACTTAGACAGATACATACATACTTGTAGATAGAAGCGAGAATGCAAACACTTCAAGCACGTTAAACAAGCGTTAAGTTTTTGAATAAACAGCCGCTTGGAAAATATACATAAATGCAAACTTATGTATGTATGTGTATACGAGTATAAATAAAATCGGTAACAGTGGCGACGTTGATTTTGCGCAATAAGCGCAAGGTCGTTCGCAAGTTGTTGTTGCTGTTGCTGTTTCTGTTTGTCTGTTTATCTCTCAGCCTGTCTGACCGCACGTGCCTCTTCTTCTTCCTCTTTGACAACGCCTGCCGTTGTCGTCGACTTCAAAGTGAATTTCCTATTTCCATTTTATTGCAAGGTGTGTTCGATTTATAACTTTTAGGCAGTAGTCAGTGTCCATTTTCATAGTTGTTCATAATTTTTATTTTAATAGCATCTGCCCAAAAGGCCGTGGAAAAGAGTATATCAGCTATATCAAATTGTTTGTAACAGTCATATCAGCTACGACTTCTACTCCATCGAATTCACCAATTTCCGTACAACACTGGCAATATTAACAGCAAGAATAATATCTTTTTCAATTTTCAAGAACTAATTTGTTTGTTAATCGTTTCCTGGTAGAATATTTTGGAATTAGTGGATCTTAGAAGAATCTCCTTCAAATCAAGTAAGACAAAATTCATTGCAAGTACATACATATTTAGAAAATTAAGTACAAAGAAATAGTTTCCGTAATAACCGTTTTTTTTTAAGAATATATGCATGTACTTTTCTTATAAAGTTCACGCTGTGTAAAAACGTTTCTTTAAAAAAAAAAAACATTCCTTTTTTTTCTAAATTCTAAATAAATTTGAAAAGTTTTTTAAAGGAAAGGAAGTGCTTTTTTAATTATGATGTTCGATTCATCCTGACCAAAAGTCAGGTGGACTACCTGCCTTTTCATAAATTTAAATTGTCTGTTGTCCTGTTTGTAAGTACGGGCGTCTTAATTTCGAAGAATGCTTTATAAGCCGAAAACCAAGATTTTTTCAAATTTTCGTTTGACTTCCCTCATGTTTGTGTGAAATTTCAGTTGAGTTTACTTTAGCCCAGAAATCGGTAAAGAGTACTCCTTAGTCGAGCATGTTAAACGATGACGTTTTAACTTGTTTTTTTATCTCATTTTTATGATTCTGTCCGACAACATCGTCACATTGCACCCACTGTATTAGCATTTCCACTTAACATATCGCTTATTTAAATAATTTATAAAATGTTTATTGAGAAAATGTTTATTGAGAAAATGTTTGTGCATATTGTAATGTTTTGGAAAATAGCTTTTGCATAAATGAAGCAAATTATGAGCATAGATTGTTTCTCCTTTTTTTTGGGTCACATGATCACGTTTTCATTTGACATGCAGTAGTAATATGTATATAGCTTTGAAAACTAAGATCAGAGCGATAGTAATGCAAAGCCTGAAATTTACATACACACGTCCGGTTTCTATCTTCAAAGCGTTTACACGCATCAGTTTTATTTCATAATAAAATTAGGCATAGGGCGTAATAACATTGCCTCTGGCCAGTCGGCGCTTCGAAAAGTTGTATATAAATAGAAATTTAATCTGGATTATAGGCTCTCATCGCAATCATATTGCACGCCAATTTGCTTGCGAATTTCATCTTGAATCTGGGCGATAAGCAAAGTATCTGTGGGCGGCACAATTTCAGAAATAGTTTGACCGGCTCTGATGCATTCAAAGACATGATCTGCCTCGTAGATGAGGCCAATAGAGTTCGTATAGTTCCAATTGTCAGCAGTGATTGGCAGCCTCCATTCATGCAGCTGACCGTTGGCAATATAATGGCTCGGACACCAATAGGTTGGCATCTGAAATTGGAGAGCAATTATAAAGATTTCTTAGCCCACAAATCCCATAGCTTCACGCTTACACAAATGGGTCCTTTGGTGCTGATTATAGTTGACTGATTTTCCAATGCTTCCAAGCCGGAACATGTGATGTAAGCGCGACGACCCTTTGAGAATTCCAAGTCGGCTTGGAAGAACAAATCAATGCCGTTCGAATTTATTTTACCCTCTGCCTTAATCGACTTGGGCGCCTCCTGGAACACCAGAACCACCAACTGTATTGCATAACAGCCGATATCTAGCACAATACCTCCGCCCATATCTTTCCGAACTATGCGTGCGCTATCCGAACCACAGAATCCATGCTTCACATACACCTCTCGGATATCGCCAAATGCGTTTCTGGTCAGCGCGGCGCTAAAGTGTCGATAGACTGGAAAGAAGCGCGTCCACAGTCCTTCCATAAGGAAAAGGTTCTCCTTTTTAGCTAACGAGATGAGCTCCTTGGCTTGATTGTGGTTCATCGCGAAGGGTTTCTCGCAAACCACTGGCTTCCCCGCTTCCAACATCATCTTCACCACTTCGAAGTGCATGTGGTTTAAGACCGCCACATAAACCACTTCGATGTTGACGTTCTGCGCCAGTTCCTCGTAGCTCCCATAGGCATGCAGGATGTCATGCCTCTGGGCAAACTCATCTGCATTAGCTTTCGATCGACTGGCTATGGCATGTATCTCATGTGGTTTAGCGGTGTGCTGTGAACGCAGAGCGGTGCAAAAGTCGTGCGAGATTTTCGAAGCCCCCACAATTCCCCATTTCAGTGCCATTTTCTGTCAGTCTGTTTGCGAGCCCGAAACGAGATCAACTGACTGGAAAATTGTAGATTCTAGCATTGCATTTGCAATGTTGATAGCACAGTTGATAACACTGTGTATGCATATATGTATAAGTATTTGTCTATAATCGTTAATGAGCTCAATTTATGTTATTTGAATATTAACACCCCAGTAATTTCGAATGGATTCAGACTCAAAAAAATTGTTGATTTCAAGAAGTAAGATTAGAATTAACTTTACTAACACTTTAAAGTTTAATATAGTTGGGTTTATCAGTTTCTCAAAGTAAAGCCAATAGTAACTTGTTTATTAAACATAAACTACAAAAAAAACGAAATCTTTCATTAACTCTTCGATTGTAAAACATGCATTTTAGAATGAATATGATTAACCTAGAGTATTACTTGCTTAAGTAACATACTATAGTCGGAGTTATGGTTGTGTTTGTCAGGCTTTTTAATCCCTTAATAGCTATATAGTATTTTATTCAATTCCCCTCTGAGCATTTATTCTAAGCTTTATTTAATGCCTGTACTTGTAATAATCTACAATTAATGTTAATGAATATTCATTTATCTGTGAACTTGTAATTGGCTTTCTTCGCGGGCCTGTTGAAGGGGCTTATCAACACTCGCCTATGGGGGCAGACAGGGTCTGGGTCTGGGTCTGGGAAAGTGAAGTGTAGAAACAAAGCCGCGCATTGTTTTTGTGTGGCAGCTTAGGCCAATGTGTGGCGGAGTGGCAAATGGCTGGAGGGACGGACGCACAGTCTCCTCCTCTTCTTCTTATTTTTGTTGAACGAGTCATAACACTTGACAACAGCTGCAGTTGACAGCAGCAACAACAGCAGCAACAACAACAACAACGACGACGACACGACGCCAGCGATGAGTTCCAATCAAAACACGATCTTGGCGCTTGGCGCACTCAGCATTGACCTTATGGCTTCTAAAATCGGTAAAAACATCTTTACAGCTTTATGTTGTAGTTAGTGTTGTTGTTGTTACTGTTGTCGTTTCGATACGATATGTTTCCAATATGCGCTAAATGCACAAACTTGAGTCGCGCTGTTCGTACTCGTACTTGAAATTGGGATACGAACACTACACTCTTTTTATTTTGTTGGCAGCCTTTACGGCCAGGCCAGGCCGGGCCGGGCCGGGCCGGGCCAGGCCAGTTTGCCATTTTCAAGTCAATTCATTCGACGACAACTCATTCATGTTGGCTTGCACTTGACTGACCAAGTTTACAATTCATTTATTTACTTTTATTTATTTTGTAATGCATTTTATAAGGATGTTCAATCATCCGTTTGGAGGTCGACGCATTGCTCTCTTTAAGCTGGCAATTAAGTCATTATGCGCTTCATCTGGGACTGATTGCTGAGATTTATGCGTGTGGCGTTAAATTGATGGTTTAATTAGTTTGCCGAACGCAGTTGGCAACAACAGCAACAACAACACAACTGAATACGTAACAGCCGAGCCATCAAGATCTTGAAACCTGAAGTGAACAAAAATAAAGTAGTGGGCGTCATCAGGTTCCAACAACGGTCTGCCAAATTAACCCACAACGCAAATTAATTTAATTCTGTTTTGTTTTCTCATACCACTATTGCTGTTGCTGCCAGCAAAGAACATTTGCCTATGGTCGAAAAAAATACACGAAACACAAATTATTTATACAATACCACCAGCTGAATGAACGGAATAAAAAGCCAAAGCTAAAAAGTGCGTAGGTTTTGCATTTTGATGACCAAGCGCAGCAGCAGTTGAAAAAAATCGTTTCGAAAGGCCACTATTTAAGAGGAATACTTTTGAACAGTGCTGGTCAGAAGTTACTTTACTAAACCTTTAACAACTAAACTAAAAATTAAGGCACTGTGTGACTTTTAACCTATTCAAAAACAGGCTTTCTACTAATCAACGAAGGTAAACCTTGCTTTCTACTTAACGAAATATACTTACGAGTATTTATTGCACTGAAATGAAAAGCAAAAATAAACTGGGACTAATTAAGGGACAAAGCGAATCCACCTCAAACAAAGAACGCCTAACTTGACTTTTTTTGACCCAATAAAATGAGCGACTCTTATATTTATCAAGCGTCCACAAAAACCTCTTTAATAATTAGAGGTTATAAAAATTTAATTGATATAATGGTTCAGCTATTTTAGCTGCATAATTTTCTTAAAGAGGCTGAGACAGCTAGGCAGATGGCTAGACAAAGCTCCGAGTGGTTGATTGTTGTTCTTAAATGTTATGAAGTTCTTTATGTGTTTCAAAATCTATATCGGTGCATGCATTGATCCAAATCAGCGATAAATTCTTTCAATATTGGTAAACAATTTGCGATTAAAAAAGATAACAATTTTATGTATCGCGGTTTGTGATCCTGAACTTATTTCACAATTGTAATGATTTGAGTCTCTAAATATCTGTTGAACAATATACATAGGTATATAGACACTTATAATAATAGAGGTAACTTGTATCCCCTATTAATAAACACTATTTTATAAGCTAAAAAGTGCAAGAGTAAAAATGAGTAATCCTTTAATAGTCTATATCGGTTTTTATATTTACAAATTACCAATTAATTCTTTCAATGAGTTTCTGAGCTTAATACTTTCCGAAATCTAGGCGGTCTGATGTCGAAACAGTCAAAGGCAGACTTTTTGCACAATTCGAATGATTTGGAATCAAAAATGTTTTTAGGATCTTATATTTATTTGTACATGTAAAAAAGTCATTAATTCTTTCAAAACTAAATCATTATCAGCGTTGGTCTACGGCTGTTGGTTTTATGCTTCCTGATAACCTGGCGATAGAAACAATTCAATAAATTATGAGGATTCTTTTAATTAAAGATGTAGTTCAAATCGTCTGTTAAATGGTTAACTACTTTTTGTCAGGCAGTGTAGTTTCGTGCCAATGTAAATGCATTTATTTAGAATAAATGTTCGTAAAGGTTGGCTGCCAGCGACTTCATTAGGCGCTCATTCAATAGGCCGCGTGTCGCTCGTTGACATTTGACAGACGCAGCAACTACGGGCACCTTCTACATATACGAGTATACTACAAGTACATACTATACTATATAGTAGTACCAGCGTTTTTCTCCCTCAACACGGGCGCTGACATTCATTTCGTTTATGAAAATTTATGAATGCGCCCATGGAGTGTGAGCCATGCGTCCATGACACACGAGTGCCAGTTTAGGGCAAATAAACGCACTCACTATATACAATATATAGTCATACACTTGCAGGCAATTGGAAAGACCCGTGAAATGTGTGAAAAGGCGGCGATGCGCGTCATTGGAAAATTTTCTATTGTTTTAAGTTGGGGACCCCTTTGCGCAAGACATGTGTGAACTGAGCGCCTCTTTCAAACGGGTCATCAAATCAAAAACTTAAAGGTTTCATCAATGGACCACTTTGAAATAATAATTATAATGATACACAAGGTGCTAATACATAATTTTCACGCTTCCCCACACAAAACATTCACGCCATTCATATGGCGGTGGCGGCGCATGGAAAAGCGAAAGTTTTATTTGGATTTTTGGGTCTCCATTGCAACATAACATTCAATGCGATTCGATTCAATTCCCATGCCCAGTGGCTACAATCGACGAACAAAACAAAACAAAACAAAACAAAAAATGTGCACGCAGCTGCTTGAATGCAGCAGAGCTTTAGCTTTCATAAATACTTGTCAACTGTGTTGCCAGTGCCGAATTCTTGTTAATTAATGGCCAAACCAATTGCAACGGGTCTAAAAGCGGGCTGTCCCCAACTCTCGACTCTCAATTCTCAAGCCGCAAGTGCCAAGTGCCACAAAGTGCATAAATATGTTAAACAAAGTCTCAAAACTTATGACAGGCGCACATGCAACAGCGCCGGGCAACCACAGACGGACCATATACATATCTCTGGCTAGAGGCAGGGTGTCTGATGGAAAGCACTTTAGTCTGGCTCAGATATTTATCAGAAATTTTATTGAAATATCACAGCTTAATCTAGGTACGGGTGTATATTGTAGGCTTTAAATCTAAAAAACAGTAAATGGCTCACTCTTTGAGATTATTCCTGATTTGCTTTCCGATTATCGGCTACTTACCTCTATAGATATCACAAACTACCAAAGAAAAGTTCCAGACACTCCAGTCTTAAAAAGAATATGTTAAAATTGTCCCTTCGATTATTAACTCAACGATGAACAATTTCAAGTAGAAAGCCCAGTCCCACAGAAAAGTTGAAGTTTTTAGTTTTTCTGCCTAATTTTTTATAGCTTGGAATAAATTGTATTTTACAACATATAGAGTTCATTAAATGTGCATTTAAGCAATAAATATTTTGATAATTGGACCCACTAGGTATAATGTATGTTCCACAAAAAAGAAGAAAAAAACCATACATAAATTCTCTTTATTTATGTTTTAATGGTTATTAATCATAAAAAGAATATACTTTAGCCGGAAAGACTAAATCCTAATCCAATACATTTTAAATCAATTAAAAAATTGTTATTGCTTGATGAATACTCTTTTTCACCAATTACAGTTGAGGGGAGACGCTTTTAAAACCTTGTGAGTTAATATACAAGTATATATTTTCCTTTCACGGTGTAGTTTGGGAAAATATGAACTCAAAATGAGGGAATAGGGGCTCCAAAGTCGATATGGAAAATCTTCACTCTAGCTTTGTGTACTCTAAGAAAAGAATACAAAATAGAGCATTCGGCGGTTTTTGAAAATTTTCTTGGGTTCTTATTTACTTAACAAATGTTAGTAAAAGCGAGTTCGAAATATTCTGCACCCAAGAGTTGATCATATTATAAGTTTTCAATAGTAGTTTTAATTTTATTTATGAGTACAGTATTATAGTATCAGTATTATAATAATACAAGTAAATACTACATATCTGATCTACTTTAATACTCGTATATCTTTATGGAATGTCGAGAATATCAGACAGGATTTATCAGTAGACACCCTGCTTTAATACGAA